AACAAATGCTTGATTTAATACGGTATCTATTCAGTGACTTTCAAGTTTCAGAATGAATACAATAACATACAGGAATCAAACACTTGTCCATCCTAAAATAGCACTACAAATTACAGGGATGAGATGGTATCTTAAGTGTGAAATCAAATCAACTAATTTAAAGAAGTTGTATAGTTTAGTTTGGCCGAGTGGATTGACCCTATAATGGTGAGTGTTATATCTGGACGAAGAATAAGTGAATAGTCACTTCTAAGATCTATTTATGAACTGTTATTATATATATTATTATTGTATAACCATTAACTGACTATATATATATATATATATATATATATATATATATATATATATATATATATATATATATATATATATATATATTGTAGAGAAGCCATAATTTTGCTCCTTTAGGTGAAATTTTCGGGGCTTGATACAGAACCGGGATGGCTTCAACCATTTCGATGTGATATTCGCTATTTATCAAGTGCGAAACTATGATGCTACGGATTGACTTGGTGACTTTTTCCTAACCACTCCGGCTCTCTGAGTACGGCCTAATTAACTAGCTCTACAAAACCAGTTAGATTGGTATACACATATGGAGAAGTTTATCATCGGTATCCTATCCTTGATTTGTTGCGCAAGTGCTGGCTTAGTTGACAAATTCATATACAGGTTGGCGTCGTAAAACATCTTTCCAGTAGACCTTCTAAGTCGATGTGTTAAAATATCACCAGCCATGTCCCCTTTAAACTATTATTTCATAGACCAAACGGCCGTTCAGTGCTTCCAGGTTTCCTATAGTGGTTCAGCTTCAACCGACTCATGAGTTCAACTACTAAATTACTACAATCTCCACAAATCCCCATTCTGATCATATGCTCACTAGTGACTGGCTTCAATATATATTCGCTGGAGTTCTAGTGAGAAGACTTGATCAGTGGAGTTCAATCGTGTCTGTTGTGAGGCAGTGATTTACTGAAGACAATCATTGACAGTGGAGCAACATCGTGGATTGTTTGAAGTTAAACATTAACACCGTTGGATGCCGGCTCAATGGTCTAGAGTTTAATCGTCCACACACGAGACCTAAGGTTCTGGTTTCGAGTTCCACATGTAGGGTCGTGGGTGCGCATTGCTGAGGAGTCCTACACTAAGACGAAATGGCCGTTTATTGCTTCTGAGTTTTCCATGACGATCTAGCTTTAATCCACTCATGAATTCAACTATTAGATTAAAAAGTTGTTTAGTTTAAAAACTAAACTGATAAAAATGTAACACACATTTATTTATTTAATTTATGAAATTTTAAGTGGGATAATTATTCTATTTAATTAATTTATATACAAATAGCCTTATTCACTTTCAAGTAATGATCCTTTCAATAAACATGTTTAATTTGGATTATTCTAAAATAATGATTCCATTTCTACACACACACACACTCTCAAGTACATTAATGTATGCAATAGTGAGCATAAATTAAACGTCATTCGATCACTAGTAATTAAATAATAATAATAATAATAACTAGAGAATGATGTGATATGTGCTTTTTCAGAATTGTATCGATTAATAATAATGATGAAAAGTGGATGATTTCATCTAGACGTCACTTGGATACCTAGACTACTATATATATATATATATATATATATATATATATATATATATATATATATATATATATATATAGTAGTCTTGATTGAGATTGTAGGATATTGGTAAGTGGACTCATTCAAACTTATCTTCAGTCAATTTTTGGCTTAGTTCAAAACAGAGTTGATAATTCATAGAAGATAGGAATATTTAAGTGAATGATTAAATATGTATAAGATATGGATATATCTTTTGGCTAAACATAGTTACATAAGGATTTTTTAAAACAATAATCTAACCAGTCCGCTATATAATACGATAATTATTAGATGATTTGTTCCCGACTGGAAATATGAACGAATGAAACTCCATGCTAATTGGCTTACATATAATATGTTTATCGAAGTTATAAACACAATTTTTAACAGGTCTGTATTGGTCATAAATTGAAACAAGTTGGGGTGAAATTGAAAATGAGACAGTATTGAATGGCTGTTTTTCTTGGAGGGGGGCATAGAACCATTTAGTAGTGAATATTCGTGATGTTAATCTGTGACAGGTAAAGCTGCAAATTAAACTGATGTACACTGGTAACAGGTTTCGAAATGATTTCCTGAAGTTTCAGTTAGAAGTGTTGACAATTGGAGTCCAATTATGCCCAAAGAGAAATAATAATCATCGAAAGCATATGAATAATCGTCGAACCGTATTGCGAGTTGATGTGGTTCATGAGAATCTAACCCAGTGGTCTAAAGGCAAAATGCTCTCTAAAAGACCAGATTACGTGTTCGACCCATGATACGGACGACAACTAAAGAAGAAACAATCATTCAGTGCTTTTTGATTTTTAATTGTGCCACAACTAACGGTAATCCACAATGAATACAATGTACAAATAGATAAATCTAATTTTGTATACTATTAAGACCTTCTGTTGAGTACGTAAGAAAACACGTCAAGTTATCTTGTCTGGAGTAAGCAATAAACATCAACGTTGAGTTATCTGAGGCTTTAAATATTAGGTTAAATTGGTTTATCACTTCTGACCAACAATTTACTTGTCAAACTGAGTTTTTCTTATTAATCAGTGGCTGGAAACTACGTTACAGTTTAGTATTTGTAGGTAATTTTGCAACTAGAATTCTAATTAAAGTTAGAACTTTATTTTAAGTAATCACAGTAATGACTGAAATTCCGTTTACAAAACGTCAATACACATTTGTGGATTGGACTGTATATACACCATGTATCACTTGGTTATATAGACTGAAGTGTAAGCAGAGTAGTAAGTGAGGTGTAGTGAGTAAAGTATCCAACTTTTGGGTTTTGCATTTGAAACCTGTTCCATGCATTTCAGTTTAAACAGTTGACTACTATTACTAGCGCTCTCCCATGGAATATGAGGTTCTAAAAGCGAGTGTATAGACAAGATATATGTACTCCGAAATTTGTTGGAAACAATGGAGGACATTTTCACTTGTAAGGGTTTGAATTATCTTGTTGTTAAAGACTGTAATTGATCGGTCTCTTTTGAAATTTTTATCCCGAGAAAATCACCTCGATATTGTCATAACATCATAAGATTTTAAGTAAAGTTGGGTAATGGCTAGCAGTAGGATCCAGTATGTACGTTTTGTTTCATTTGGTATTCGCCAACTGGGTGTTGTGTTGATGTTTACATTGGGACTTGAATCAAATACCTTTCGCTCCAAACACCTAACGCGTTATCTACTTATTTCAGACAGATATTATTAAACTCATCGGAACAACGGAATGTACATATTAAAATCCTTTTCAAATCACAGAATTTTACAAGTTTTGCACTATTTAGAAAGGAGGAACAACGATATTGCAACATATAACAGCAAACAGTTATTGCATAATATTGACATTACTCAACTTTTCATATGACAAAATTTCTCTCCTTTAATTGTAATATACTCAGTTGGGCATCAGATAGGTGATAGCAGACTTAAACAAGTAATCTGGAAACTGAAAATGAGGACAGTAAACAGGAAGACGATTTCGCTAGAAATTTTTAAGCAACTAACTAAATAAGTAGTAGGCAAAATGAAGACATTACAAATAGATACATATATGTAAATATTAGTCAAATGTTGCATAACACGTTTTCATCATACAAAACAGTAGAACATTTGCAAAAACACTGAGGTCCGCATACGCAACACATGGAACCACAAACTGATACACACACGTATATATATATCAGATATATGTTCACATAAAATGAATGATGGAATGAAAATAACTCAATCACTTATTCCTAGTACACATCTGTAACCTGAAACTGAGGTGAAAAAGGTCACCATAGTAACGGAAAGGGATAAAAAACAAGATTAGGAGAAAAAAGAGAGGGAACAAATTAAATAAAGACAGAAAGTGTCACCAATGGTAGAGAGAACACTGAAGATAACTAACTTCACTAAAGGAAGGTAGGCAATGTTTGTAAGACAATCAAATGGAAATTTGATAAAAATATACCTTATGTTGTACACATATACATGAGAGAATGCAATTTAGATTTACATATGAATTCTAGGGTTCTTTTCTTTTACAACTGGAATCAATGAACTAAAAGAAAATAGTTTATAACTTATTTTATAATTTTTGCAAATACACAGACGTAAACATGAGAACATGGACACTTGAGAATACTGATATTAATAGTAATAATAACAACCACTCGGTAGCATTGACTGATATCGATGAGAAAATAAAGTGTAAAACTAATTGATTAAGTATTTGGTAGATAAAAAAAAGTCTACATTCACGAAAGAAATATATTCACCGTAGACAGAGATTAGACATTTAGGAAAAGAATGTATATGAGTACAAACACATACACACATAGAGAGACGTAAAACAGTTGAAACTCAGACAGGAATAATTGAGTGTACATGGATGTTAATGATGAGTAGTAAACAGAAAAAAAGAATTGGTATAATAGGTGCAAATGAGTGAAATATTAGTCTTGAATGTGTATGTTTATGTAAATATTATCCTTTATCTACAGTGTATACAATAATATGAAAAACGAAAAAGAAAAGAGCTGTATACAAACAGAAATTGTAAAAACGTACACACGTACATACATACACACATACATACAATCGAAACGTTTTGCTTATTTCAATTGATAGATTGATAAACAAATGCTACTCATGAAAACAAATAAGGTTGGAGATAATGAAACAATGAATTGGAATAAACCTTGTCAATATCAATAATATCACGTATATATGTTGTACAATAAATGTATGGAAATATATTGGAAGCAGTCGGTATTCATCGCCGTAGTCTAATTGGTATTGAATGATGAATATTATGTTAAAGACAAACAAACAAACAAACAACAATATAGAAATTATAATGTATTATTTTTAATTTGACATACGATTTGATGGTAGCATAGTACCAGTTCGACTGACACAATAGTCATCAGTTTCATAATCGATCGGTGCTGATGAATCATTTACCGGACCCATGTTGTTGTGAGATTGAGACGATGATGGAAAACCTCTTGGACTAGATGGTGAAGCAAGTAGAGGAATAGATGTTTGTGATGTAGCTGTACTTAGAGTCTCTTGTGATGCATGAGGTGCATTAACGTCTAATGGTGAAAAAATAAAACTGAATCGACTTGTATTAGGCGATGATTGATCAGATGATTGTCCATGAAAAACTATAGAGATAAAGACAAAACAATTGGAAAAAGAATGAAAAATAATTTTTAATGGAAAAGTAGATGCATCTCTCTCTTTCTTTTAAATGAAATTAAAATATTAGGAAAATTATGAAAGATCTAATCAGTTAAATTACAATGAAGTTGAATAAATGTAAAGAATAATAGGAAGGTTAAGGACTTAGTGTAGTCTCAAAAAGAGATATTTACAACCCATATTGTTTAAAAGTGAATGAGTGTAAATTATTTACTGAGTACAGGCTCACTTAATCAGCAGTGAATTATACAATCTATGTGGAAATTCGATAAAGTAGATTTCGACCCTGGAGGTGATTTAAACACTCAGTTACCGTTCCGCCTATGAGACAGGTCAATTCACTCTACATAGTGGTTATTGATTAGAAAACGTAGATTACTGGTATATTTTAAATAAACCGTATAGAAAATAATTAGCTTGTTCATTAGCTACTTGGATATAACCCAAACTCTAAATGTGAGATCTACTGATACTACTTGTCTGCCTGAACCGAAGATCTGTTGTGTACTCCAAACGCTTTAGAGACTGACATCATCCGACTGTACCCATTTAAGTAGGTGAAGGAAGGTTCGAAAATCGAGTTTTACTCAGTAAGCAACTGATCTATTATATGCAATTGTTGAGCCGTTTCAGATGAAGAGGATATGAATCATATAGGGGTAATTTATTCAAATGAATGAATTTCTAAGTGGTGATCAAATACAAAGCTTAGTAGCTCAGATCTTCAACAAACCTTGATTACTAACATGGTACACTAGTTTTCAGCTAAATTAACAATTCATATTATAAATACTTCTGAGCCGTTTTCCTTTAAATGGAAGTATACACATTTCAGGATTCAATCAATATTTACATAAACTAATTTACTAAATGCAAGTGGTTCAAATGTTTGGCTAGGAGCTGTGTTTCATATGAAGAATAATGATACTACTCGCGGTTACATGGACTGATAAAACGGAATTAACATTTGAATCTGTCGTCTAGAAGTTGGAAGTCGTGATTTTTAAACATTAGACAGTTACTTCAACATCTACAACAGTGCCATGTTAAATTTCTAAAGGTCGAACTCATGTGATAGTCTATCAGAAAATGGACACTACAAGTCACTGGATATAAGATATTTGGCAACATAGTAAGTTTTACAGTTTCACTGTAGAGTGAGTATGATATCATAACAATGACGATGGTTCATACAGCTTAGATTCAAGGGAATGTGATAGGTTTCGCAGATCATTTAGATAGTGCTTATTAGGAGAATTCCGCCTGTAGCTCTTCTAGAGTTACTGCCGGTCCCAAGCCCGGGTAAAGGGGGAGGGTTGAAGATGGGGTTAGCGACCCCATCCCGTAGAAAACTAACTCGCTTAAAAAACGCCAACCAGAAAAAATAATTCAAACCATTTAAACTCTACCCTGAGAGTTAGAAGAACTATGACGCCTCATCGTGAAAGCCGAGTTCCTTCGGAAGCCACGAGGCCGATGCCCCTTCTAACAACCAGAGCAACAACTTTTATAGGAACATGGAACGTCCGGACGATGTGGGAGACCGGGAAGATCAGTCAAATAGCAACGGAAATGAGGAGATACAACTTGGTAATACTGGGAATCAGAGAAACCCATTGGACCCCTGCTGGACAACAAAGGCTAAATACGGGAAAGATGCTGCTACACTCCGGTCACGAAGAGGAAAACGCTCCACACACTCAGGGAGTTGCTTTAATGCTGTCCAAAGTAGCACGAAATGCACTTGTAGGATGAGAATCTCACGGATCCAAAATCATCAATCCATCAATCAAAACAAAGGAGGAGGGGATCACAATAAATGTTATCCAATGTTATGCACCCACCAATGATAGCAATGACGACATTAAGGATAAATTCTATGAGAGGCTGCAATCAATCATAGAGAAGTCCCCAACAAAGGACCTCACCATTCTGATGGGAGATCTAAATGCCAAAGTCAGAATAGACAATACCAGATATGAAGACACTATAGGACGACATGGATTGGGAGAGAGCAAAGAAAATGGGGAAAGATTTGCAAATCTATGTGCATTCAACAAATTGGTCATAGGCGGCACAATATTTCCACACAAACATATACACAAAGCTACGTGGATCTCGCCTGACCAAACCACAGAAAACCAGATAGATCAATAAAAAAATTCCGAAGGACAATAGAAGACGCGAGAATCAGAAGAGGAGCTGAAATAGCTTCAGATCACCACACCACCTAGTTGTGGCTAATTTAAAACTGAAGCTAAAGAAAAACTGGACAACTGGACAAACAGCACTACGAAGGTTTAATACAGCCTTCCTTCAAGGTACTTACATATTCAACGAATTCAAGATAACTCTCAACAACATGTTCCAAGCCTTACAGGATCTACTGAAGAAAGAAGAAACTACTATAGAGGACAACTGGAAAGGTATCAAAGAAGCATTATCTTCAACGTGTCAAGAGGTTCTGGGCCTCAAGAAGCATCATCATCGGAAAAAAGCAATTAACAACAGCCGAACAAGAATAGAGAAAGTCCAAGCACAAGCTGATTACATAGAAGCAAACAAGCAAGTGAAGAAGAGCATTAGAGTCGACAAGCAGAAATACGTGGAAGAACTAACAACGACGGCGGAAAAAGCTGCTAGAGAAGGAAATATGAAGCAGCTTTATGATACAACGAAGAAACTAGCAGGGAAATACGGCAAACCAGAGAGACCGGTCAAGGACAAAGAAGGCAGGCCCATCACTGAAATTCAAGAACAGCGGAACAGATGGGTAGACTACTTCGAGGAACTCCTGAATAGACCAGCTCCAATGAATCCACCGGACATCGAAGCAGCACACATAGATCTTCCTATAGATGTCAATCCACCAACGAAGGAAGAAATCAGAATGGCCATCAGAGAAATCAAGAGCGGGAAAGCAGCAGGACCGGACAACATACCAGCTGAAGCACTGAAGTCAGACATCGAAGTAACTACAAACATCCTTCACCTTCTATTCAAAAAGATTTGGGAGGAGGAACAAGTGCCGATGGACTGGAAAGAAGGATACCTCGTCAAGATTCCAAAGAAAGGAGATCTGAGCAAATGTGAAAACTACAGAGGCATCACACTACTATCAGTACCAGGGAAAGTCTTTAACAGTGTCGCTGAACCGGATGAAAGACTCAATAGACGCCCAACTTCGAGATCAACAGGCTGGATTCCGTAAGGATAGGTCGTGCACAGACCGAATTGCGACACTACGGATCATCGTCGAACAATCAGTTGAATGGAACTCGTCACTGTACATCAACTTCAGTGACTATGAGAAGGCATTTGACAGTGTAGACAGGAGGACGTTATGGAAACTTCTTCGACACTATGGAGTTCCTGAGAAGATTATCAACAATATCCGGAACTCATATGACGGACTACAGTGCAAGGTCGTGTATGAAGGCCAGCTGACAGATGCATTCCAAGTGAGGACCGGAGGCAGACAAGGCTGTCTACTCTCTCCCTTCCTCTTTCTTCTGGTGGTCAACTGGATTATGAGCACCTCGACATCTGAGGGAAAACACGGCATACAATGGACAGCTCAGAATCAATTAGACGATCTGGACATCGCAGATGACCTAGCCCCCCTATCGCATACACACGAATAAATGCAGATAAAGACAGCCAGTGTAGCGGCAGTCTCTGCATCGGTGGGCCTCAACATACACATGGGGAAAACCAAGGTCCTCAAATTCAAAACGAAGAACAGCAATCGAATCACTCTTGATGGAGAAACTCTGGAAGATGTAGAATCCTTCACATACCTGGGAAGCATCATCGATGAACAAGGAGGATCAGATGCACATATAAAGGCGAGGATTGGCAAAACAAGGGCCGCATTTCTATAAATGAAGAACATATGGAACTCAAAATAACTTTCAACCAATATCAAAGTGCGAATCTTCAATACCAACGTCAAGGCAGTTCTACTGTATGGAGCTGAAACTTTGAGAACTACTACAACCATCATCACGAGGGTACAATTATTTATAAATAGCTGTCTACACAAGATACTCAACATCCATTGGCCAGATACCATCAGCAACAACCTTGTGTGTGAGAGAACAAACCAGCTTCCAGCTGAAGAGGAAATTTGGAAAAGACGATGGAAATGGATAGGATATCACAAGACAAGCGCTAACTTGGAATCCTGAAGGGAAACGGAAAATAGGAAGGCCAAAGAACATATTACGTCGGGAAATAGAATCAGATATGAAAAGGATGAATAACAACTGGAAAGAGCTGGAAAGGATTGGCCAGGACAGGGTTGGATGGAGAATGCTGGTGAGCGGCCTATGCTGCTTCACGAGGAGTAACAGGCGTAAGTAAGTATTAGGAGAACGTTAGAAAATCCCCTAGAACGCTTTTTTTACGCTGAGATGGTGTGTTTTTATAACAGTTAATATTTAGGATTGAATCGATCAGTTTCTTTAACTATTAATAATTTGTCAATAAGATTTTCAAATTTTACTGGCATAGAACATTGAAAAAAGTTTAATTTGTTGTTGTTGTGACATTTAGTGTTTTGACTCATAGTAAAAAGTAAATATCACAGATTAATTTTTAAGTCAGACCATGAACTGAAATTTCATAGTTTACACCGGAAGTTGACGTCAGTTATGAAACCAGGAAGCACTGGAGAGCACTGTTTTGTCCGAGTACACGAATTTTCGGCAGTGGTGGTCGAACCCGGGACCTTAAGATCTTGTGCGTATCGAGCTCTTGATATTTAGATCACGGAGTCAGCATTCAATGGTTTGCACTTCTAAAAATTTTTAACCAATCTTCATAAACCCCTTACTTTGAATTATAAGCTGAAAGTTAGTCTATGGTCTATTTTTATTCTTCACAAAAATATGTTCTTGTTTGCATCACACAAAGTGACACAATCTGATTGTTAAATAAAGAGAACTGTTCATCCAGCTAATACTAATCTTTATTATTATTACTCGGCTTAAAGAATCAATGTTTATATATATATGTGTGTGTGAGAGAGAGGGTTAATCAGTCATAATAAACATACAGCTAAGTTAAATTATACATAAGTTCAAGCTGCCGTATCACATGAGCATGATAAGATGAAGTCAACAAGATGAATAGTAAAAGGATGGAAATAACATGGTAAAAACGATAATCAGAATGCCTAAACATTCATAGCATATTTCTAAGAGGCATAATGAAAATATATGTATGAAGGAATGATGGAACATAACATTTCGAGGAAGACAAAGGATGCATAGCTCTGTGCCATTGTGATTGGACCTACTATTTAAAGTCCCCAACTACTGGTAGCATTTATCCTGTGGAACCTAACCAGGCAGTCTGCACCTACAAATATGACTAAAATGAACAGTCAATGGCTTCATGAACCGGAGTTATGTATTGGTTTGTCCACCTTTAGCTTTCTTTCAATATAATACTACTTCAGTCTTCACTGGATGTTGGGGTAGGAGGTATATCTGGACATATATAACACATATTACAGACACCTCAGTTGATGACGATTCATAATCTTATCAACCGGATTCTCATCTTTCCTTAGTACCTTATGCCTAACTTCACTCATTCGGTTCACTATAAGCAAGTAGTGCATAAAATACATTTATGATCAAAAGCCGGAACCCCACGCATGTCTTCCACTGAGGATTAGCAATATTATTTGGCTATACAAATTGAAATATGTAGAGGGGGAGTTGAAACTGGGATCCAATGGTTGAAAAGTGAATGCTTAGTAATAACGTCCAAGTCACCGAACACATGTTAACTGGATTGCATTTTACATGGAAACATTCATGTAAACAACTAGTAATGTTCAAAGATAAGCCTTTACACATCATGAAATATTGTATGATATGTATGATTGAAAATGAATGAAAGTATTAACAAAATTAAGTGATATGATTGAAATTTAACGTAACAGATTTATAAAGTACATATTTATACACTCAGTTTCAAAACATAGAATTAGTATGAGGACTACTAGTAATACTACCCTATTGATAAAAACCAAAGCTACGGAAAGTAGTTTGGAACCTAAAATTGAAAAACCGAGTGGTTGTTTGAAAATGTTTGATATGTTAATAGAAATAAATATTATTACCTATTAGCTAAAAGTTTGTAAGTTTATTTTCTTAGTAGTAATGCAGATAAGAGTATGCTCTATTAATGAACCAAGCAGATTTAAAACTACAGCTATTAGATTTTTTTAACGAAATTCAAAATGTGATGATGGATGGTTTGCATCTTGTTGAAAGATAAGTCAAACCGTAGTAATATTTAGTACTTAAGATGTTTAACACTAGTAAATGTGAAAAAAATAAGAAGTAAGAACCAAGATTTTTGAATTTTTAAGGGTAACTTATGCGTTCTTCGTGTTTTAAATTAAAGAAATAACCAATACCACAAGTATTCATGTATATATAAATTGATGGCTACAAAACAGTGTCTTATTTCATTCCTAATACATTTCCATCACCTGACTTTTGAATAGCTAAAATATCGTCTTACTTCTTCAGGGTAGCTAAAAGGTTGTCAGTAAAGTATACTTTAACTGAAATTCTAAACATATTAATTATTCTAATGACAATGTTAATGCCAAATGTCTAGTACATAATGATTATTTAAGTGTAGTTTTGTAAAATATATCTTCTCTTTTCCACTTTGTACACAAAAATTGTAAGAAACCTAGTATGATGAATTACGGAACAATGAAAAACAAATACTTTGAAACAAAACAGAAATCAAGTCTAGGAAAAGATTCATATATTACTGACCTCCTGTTATGCAGAGGCGGCGATAAAATTGACTTTTCTTCACACACTATCAAAACTACATACTACTCTCCTCTTCTCAGAACGTTAGTATTAATTTCTTCTAAAGAAGATATCTAACCTACCAGTTTATCACCATTAAAAATGGCTGAATCCATACTTTGGAATGAATAAGTATGAACAATATTTAAAAAAACCCAAATATAATAACTTCAACATACCTTGATTAACAAATGTTGCTTGTGCATAATTTCCCGGTGGATGTGTACTATTATTATTATTATTATTATTATTATTATTATTATTATTATTAATGATATTCCTATTATCTCTTGTATGATATAGTGACGGAATGTAAGGTAATTCAATGGGACCATGTTGAGTATTATTATTATTATTAGTAGTAGTAGTAGTAGCATTAATTGTTGAACGTGAAGGATTCAATAATTCTAAATTATTAGAAGCGGAAATATGTGGTTCATTTACCATAAACATAGATCCACCATTATTATTATTATTATTATTATTATTATTATTAGTAGTAGTAGTAGTAGTGGTAGAATATTGTGTTCGATTTCTACTGGTGATTGGATGATTAGTACTACTATTAATCGATAATGGATTAGAATTGAATAAAGAATTATTATCGTTCGTGTTTGAGTAATTAACATGATAATTATCATTAACTGATAAAGAATTATCTACATGATTGAACGTATTCGATAAAGAGTTAATAGATGATGGTATAACATTGACTCCAACAGTTCCACTGGTTTCATTCCCAAAAACACCTGTCACACTTCCATCATAGAAATTACAGTAAGAGTCATTCTAAACGACCACAGGATTAATAATAATAATTAAAGAAGAAACAGAGGAAAAATTAGTGAATCAGTATGATATTAAATGATAAAATGATGGATGTGAAAACTAGATGTAATGAAAAGACCGGAATCAGTGAACATAGCAATGGTTTGTGCAATGAGATATGTACACATGTGTTGAGTGGTTCAATAGGCAACTGGTAGGAAGCTATGTCTGATGAATTCGGTTTCATGGTATTATTATAAAGGTGTATTTGCAATCTTGAAAAGAGTTAATAAACTACTGCATTCATATCACAGTTATAGATGCTAATATAAGCATACAAAATGCAATAGGGATTTCATACTGAGAACTGTGGTTGACTTATAAATGGCAGTATATCGTCAGACAGATTTATGAAGTAGTGATTCTACAATTAAAATGCTCATCCTCGTCGCTAAATTTATTATGACAAAAAACATATTGATTTGTTGATGATTCTGGCATTTGACATCAGATCACGATAAATGATCATGTGATACATCCGACTCAATTATACAACCATTTGATTGAGAACCAAATATATAGCAGAACGGAAGTTTGTATAAAGCAGTTAGTAAGTGAATTTTATAGAATAGTCTTTTATAGGAATAATGGGGAAGATTTATAGATCAGATGAATGCTTTTGGTGGGATTTTATATTCTCTGAGAATACGACGCCATTAATAGTTTCTTACATTTAGTTTAGCTGGACATGTCTATCATTAATCAATGACCGATCACTCGAACTGACCTAATAGATCCCACTTTCCACCTTACTAATAGTTTAAACACAATTGTGAAGGGGAGAAAGTACTCTTTTTTACTTATACCAACCTTATTTAAGCACATATATATAATAATATTCATAAAATTTGGATTCTTGATGTCAACAACTAAGAATATTTCTCTAATCAATTGATATAAGCGCTTTTACATTTTTTTCCCCAGTCACTATATCACTTAGTTTGATGTTGAAAATGTTATTTTTGATCTATAGTAAAATGATTAGCTTTAAAAAAAAACCAAAACATTCGATTGAGAACTTGAACTCCGTTTTATCTACTTTGATAATGAACAGTTTAGTTGTATTACATTAATCCAAAATGTAACTCTGATATATAGAGGCAAAAATTAAACCTGAGAATCAAGTCTTCAATTTATTGGTATTCGAATGGTTTACAAAATCAGTGTCGTCTAATCACTTATGTTTCAATTGACTTTTGTTCAAGTTTTCAATGTTACTAATTTTAATGGTATTCACTCATTTTACATGTTGAGATTGATTTTTTTTAAAAAAAGAACGTCAATATAATCATTTAGAAGAGAATGTTAGATGGGCCCAATAACCTATGAAGTTTTCGATCGCCGTGAAAGTTGATATTAAACTTTCCATGCCATAAAACAAATTAACGAACTGATCTTAGTTAAGCAACTATTTAAGACCAGAAGGCATTAGACAGCTGTTTTTTCCTATTATAAGACTCCTTAGCAGTTTGAATTTATGATTAAGACAAAACAACTATGCAGTGCTTTCTGGTTTTAATGATTGTCTCACTAAGATCAGCCTACGATGTAAACTAAGGAATTTAACAGTTTACATAAACCTTTTTAGAGTAATGTAAAACAATTAACATCTTTGTTAACTTACCTCACCAAGTGAACGTACAATATTTTGTTGATAAAGAGGTAGTGTATGTGTAAAATGTTGACTGATTGAATCAGCCGTAGAAGTAGGTAATATACCCGTATAACCATTTATATGTGAACCGTTAAAATTAAAAAGGTGTGTTGAATCTTGATCAGTTGAAATATTTCGATCTAGAACGGAAGTTGAAGAATCTATCAGTGATTCCCCATTTTCTTGAATACGTTCAACAGTTAAATAAGTTGGACCACTACTACCTCCACCACCCCCACCCCCACCAATACTTGTGGCTATTGCACTGTCATTTCCTCCAATCGTTGGATGGTGATGACGTGTAATACCGATAAGACGATCTAATGTTTTCAGCGAAACTGCATCTTCACTCCAACCTGAAAGACTAATACTGGCAGTGTCTACCAATACTTTGCCGCTGTTATTACATGAATTTTGATGATGTGGTTGATATGCACTGTCTAAAGTACCGAGTGAATCAGCGGATGGCTAAAATCAAGAAAAAGATTAATGATGATAGAGATAATTTATCACCCTTTTGACATGTATTTTTGTATGGTATAGGTTTGTATGATTAACTGCAGGCTTAATTCCAGATTGGTATTTTATAAACAAGTGAAATACTAGGTGAGACCATAATTTATGGAAGGCTTTTGAGAGTTACCTAAACCACTTACTAGGATCGAAATAGGGTTGGAAATTGGTGTGAGGAATTAGGATTAGAATTTAGAGTTAGAACCTAAGGTTACGAATTATAGCTAGGTTTTTCATACCGAGCTGTTATCAGATGTAGTGCAAAACTACTATTTAGCCATACGGAGGAATAAACTTAGAACCGAAATTCAAGGTTTGCAGTCTTAAATCTAAATGATACGACTATATATTATAGTAGGCGAAAATCTAGATATTATCGGATCGAATCGGCTTATGATGACTAGAGACAGACATGTTTAGTCAAATTAAATATAAGGGACTATTTCATAATGTAGAATTCAACGCACTTTTGGTTTCACTCGCTGATTGCTGTGTACTTGTATCGATAAACGAATATTTTCTTCCATATTTAGTTCTCGATCAAGGAAAGATCGAATAATTGCGTCAAGTGTATCAAATGATCAAGTACCTGTTACTAGTAGTCTGAACAATTTAATTAATTTTCGAGTATAACAGATCTGTATAAGCTTAAGATGCCCCATAACAAATCAGTACAGGATGGATAGCAAGAAACCTCGGAAGTAACGGTATTATCGTCTATGTTAGTGAAAAAAAGTGTAGACATAGAAGATGTGATTTGAAAATAGAATGGATAATGTTAATTTGAACTTTATGAGATCGAATGTGGTTGGATTATTTGAAGAGCGCAGATTACAAAGTTAACTTAAATTCTTCTTACATGAAATAAATTCATTTACAGCTTGAAATATCATTTATATTAATGAGTACTTTATCAAGTCAAAATCTGAGTTTTCAAAGTTCAGTTAATCGCTTTTAACTGTGCAGGATTATAAAACATAGAATTAGAAATATTAAACGAGGAACGTCGTATAGATTGAATAATTTTAAGACATTATACTAGTTTAACTCCACAGAATAGAATTAATACTTAAAACCAAAGTATATTCATCAATCTATGAGTTATACTTATGATGTGACAGCTAAGGATAGTCTACTTAGTTATGTAAGCACTCACAGGGATAACCAAGTTTGAAGTCATAACTTATTGATTGAAAGTATGAAGATTAAAATAAACAGTTACAACTAAAACTCAATAAACCCAAGACATAAATATTCGTTCATATCAGTTAGTCAATCGTAATCACTTTAGGATATGACAGTAATGTGTATTAGTTAAAGTTGACATAGTAAACCATTAAAGCGAGTTGAACTTAACAAGATGCATAGCAAAGAAGTTGAAATAATAAATAGTATCAGTGGTGGTAAGAAAAATTGAACATAGAGAGTACGATTCCATAGGAAGGGATGAAATCTGTTAATCAATTCATTCACCAAGTACTCGAGGGTATGAGTCATATTCTACGTGTGAGGGCTTATGATATCATCCAGTTGCCCAAAACAGGAGTAAGTGGGAGCAAAGGTTGAATCTCGAACTGAATACCCTAGCCACTGAGCAACCCCACTTTTAATGAAATATAGGAATAAGAAGTGACGAAATAATATTGGGAATTAAGATTTAAGGTAAGGTAATGAATGAGTGTATCATTGCTAGTGAGATTGATATTAAATCACGTCATTTAAAATCTCCCAAGTATTGACTCCAATTATCTCACGGATTTAAACTAAGTAGTTTGGATTTCCCTACAAACTCAATGACTTCCGGGACCGACATCCAACCTATTTATTTACTGTGCTAGATTCCCTCTTGTGTTGGTAATATCTATTTGACCGTACTAGTTCTAACGAAATCAAACTAAAGAAATTATACAACATAGTATGATAGGGTGATAACTTTAAATAAACAGTTTTTATTTAACAGGTGATCGCTATTAAATGAATGGAGTTAGAACTGGTAAACTAAGTGAGGTAATGAACAGCTTTTATTTTTACTTGTCTTTGACAAACAAATTTTTGTGTGAAAGCTAGTGATACTACCACCGCCCCCAAACTGAAGTAAATAAAATTGGGCTCGGAACCTAGGGCCCAATGGTTAAAAAATGGGCGACTTAATCATTAAGCTACTACCTCATGCAAACAATTGTCCCTAGTATTATTTATAAGGGTTTGTAATTCACCGCTGCTGATATTCAGTAGTGAAATTGATCAGTCTCCGTTGTCATATTTTAATCAAAAGCAGATAACTCTCATATACTCGCTTTCGGTTAAAAGTTTTAGTGCTAGAATCCACAAGGCGCCTTTCGACCTATTTTGGACTTTGTCAGCTGGGTGTAGCTGCATCTCAGTGTTAATGCTCACACTGAAACGTGAATCTAGTGATTTTTCGTTCAAACACCAATACGTTATCCATTGAGCTACAGAGACTGGTCCACTTATAGTCTTGAACATCAACAGTAGTAAATTATAAATCTTTACTAATAATTTCTGACCTGTTGAACAATTTAATGACTATTTGAACTCAGTAGCTCAGTTGATAAAATGTTGGTATTTGAAGTGAAAATCACTAGATTCATGTTTCAATATGAGAATTAAAACTAGGATGGAGATACATATGTAACAGATGAGTTCCAAATAAGATGAAGTGAAAATCTTAGATTCCACTACTAGCTAAATAAATGTTAAATATACTAAAACATTTTCCTAGTTGTTAAGATTATCTTTAAAGTACTTTTTATGAATGAAGTACGTGTTATTCAACAAAAATATTAATTAGCATTATTCAATTATTTACTGGAAATGATATAAAATAAACTGGACAGGAGTCAGTCAGTCAGTTACAACGTAGGATCAGCCACATATATGCATCGGTCCAAGTTGCCATATCTCATTAACACAACTGGACAGGAACTATTTTACACGATTTATTTGATGAATGTTTGAATGCTATCAAACAGAATAATTCAAAAATCAGGGACAATAAATAGTTATTTCGTTACAAATTGAGAACCTGTATATATATATATATATATATATATATATATATATATATATATATATATATATATATATGTCTAACTCGTGAATACTTTTAAGGTTCTAAACCGGTAAAAAAATATAACATACTCATAACTGACAATAAAAAACTTCTTATAAAAAAAGACGAACGAACAAATAAACAAAAAGAAATTCACTTTAACATACCCTAGCATTAGTACATGGTAGATTTTGTTCATTAATTGAGCAAGTATCATTATTACCTTCCAATTTATGGTTTCCAGTCGGTGTTGTTGCTGTTGTTATCGCTGTTGTCATTACATTATTACGATTTGATGTTAAATTATTAATAATCGAAGATAATGGTTCTTCATTATCACAAACTAATGGTCCACGTGGTATCAATTGATTTGTTGATCGAGTACTACCTTGATTCTGATTAGTTAGTTGTTGACGTGGATGATGATGTGAATGGTTTTGTGGAACTTTTAAAGTGTATAAATATTTTCCACCACCAAGTGATTTTTTGTCATAGAATGTATTACTGTTGATATTAGGCATTTTAGTATCAGTATTGTCAAGCATAGTGTCTTTCTCAGTACTATAATTATGATTATTATTATCACTGGTAGTTGTACTATGTATATGATCCATGAGTAGTTTATGATTTGATTCTGTGTATGTATTGATAACGGCATCATCAGTACACCCGGGATCAGCGCCACCGCTACTAATCATGAAATGATTGAATTTGCTAAATCTACTTTTTCTCAATTTAAAATATTTAATACGACGGGATTTGGTTGGAACTACTTCCAAATAACGACTGTTGACATGCAATGTTATAAGAAAAATGAGAAAAAAAAACAAGAAATGTTATTAGGTTAAAATGCAAACTAACACGTAAATCAAATTACATTTATGTACAATATGTTTCCCTTAAAAGTGTTTCTAACTTATTAACCTTACATGCAATGCAATGTAACCTCTCACACACGTGGATTTAACAGAGAAACCTTAAACTACTGGATCATGATTTTGAGCATTAACTAGACATAAAAGCTTTTCGGGTTAGACAATTACAGGTTGTGAGAGTTTATGTGTTTACTCATATGCCATTTCAAGGTAAAACAGTAGGTGAGGTATTTTGAACGAGGCTTGGTATTTGAAGAAAATCGATTATTCAGATACTCAAGTTCTCAGACTATATATCCTGGTCTGGATCGGAAGGATTATATATATAATTTGTGGGCCTTGTGTTGATGTGAAACATGGTGTGAATTTTTATCGGCTCAAGCTGCAACACTATATTAACAGTGGGTGGATATCAACAAGATGTACAACGAAAGAGTTGGATTAATAACATCATTAATGATAGTAGGAGAAACTAAACATTGAGAATATGACTAGAAAAAAAACACAATACAAGGAAAAGCATGGAATAATCTTGAGATTCAATATTTGGGGAAAGATAAAGAATGAGTGTATCCGTGTTACTGAAAATGATTTTAAGCCATATCATTCAAGTTCTTCACATATTAACTATCATTACACAGGGGGTTAAGATCCCGTAGTCTGAATGTCCCCACACAGTTTAGACCAATGTCTTCATGAAATAGTGTCAAATCTTGATTTGATTGTATCGAGCCTTTTTCCAACCTGCTCCAGAATCTATTCAGCATTGGGCATCAAGGTAGGGGGTAGTTGAGTATACGTAACACATTCTAGCCACTAAAAATAGTGAAAATTCACAGCCTCTACCTAGTTCGGATAGAGAAGTTACTATGAAGTCCCATACTAGGGTAAAACAGTTGGATAGTGCTTTCTGGTTTTCGGTGTTTGTCTTACGTGGGCTTGTTCGTAATCTTAATAGAAAAGATTTCTATTTAAACAGTTAGAGCGAAAAGCAATTAATAAAGCTATCTGTAATTATTTGTGATACCATGAAATTATAAACGTATAAAACATTTTTTGATAAATATTTTACTTCAGGTGTTAGGTATTGGAGGTAGTCGATAGGAAATCTTGGACCTACGTTTTGTACAATTCAGCACTCGATAGCAAAATGTACCTGTATTTCTTAAGAGAACTGGTACTTTTTAGTGGAATCGGCCCTGTTGCATCAGGATCAACAGTCTGATATGTTACAACTGAGCTATTCAGGCTTCAACTGACTTTTGGTCATCACTAAAAGGATAAGTCAAACATAATACTGATCACTACTCGATGATCAATCGATTGTATTTTATTCATTTATTGATAGGAGGATTTAAATACTTAATTATACTTACCGAGGAAATTGAGGTTCACAACAAAATCTCCGCCAGTTTAACAAACAACCCAATGTAAATGGATTTAACAGTCCACGAAATTTATCTGTAACCTGATTGGAGTGAAAAAAGTATAACGGTAATAATGTAGACAACGAGATATCTTTTGTGAACAAAGTAGTTACACATCTGAATGTTTTGACATAATTACAAGTATTAGTGACGATAATAATAATAATAATAATAATAATAATAATAATAATAATAATAATAATAATAATAATAATAATAATAATAATAATAATCTCGATCACTAATCTCAGTTGGTATTGGAAAATAACTCTATTAATCCCGACTAAAATTGTGATATACGACAAGAATCATGTCTGATGTATTATTACTGACATATCAATCATGAGTCAATCATCACAAAACATACAGTCCACTTATCCAAGATGTTCAAGTATGACAAATATATGATTCGTTTTCAAGGTATAATGAATCATAATTTATCAATCTAATACTAAACCTTGGTTAATAATGTAAAACAATGTCTAATCTACCAAAATTTTCGTACAGTTCGGTACAAACAATTAGGACTGGTCAATTCAGTTGGTCATACACGATGTAGAACTTACGATATATGGGCATAATTCGAAATTTCTTCTTCAGAGATATTTATTTATTTATTTGAACACATAAACATTGGTACACACAGGCACCAAACAGATATGCGCCACATAAATCACTCGATTTGTGTGAGGGCTGGGATACTGCCCCGGGTGCCCAAACCGAAGCACGTGGTTTTCTCAGGGGGCCACATCTCGAGCCTTTGACCTGAAGGTCTAATCCATAATGTGGCGGAGCAACTTTAGGAGATGCAGTCCCATGGTAGCCGGTCACCAACGATATCTTCATACGCCATATGTTTCCTCAGGACCTTGGAGCCCATGTGCACCATTGGTTTGGAATCAGGGTTTTCCAACTCCCCTGCGTGAAGCCTCCGTATCCACCAACCGGTTTAAGGCGCCGGATATTCGCTTTTCGTCCTCTCAATTTCGTAGACAACACCCCCGCCGCGAGAAGACAGTGAGTAGGACTTGCCTGGCAGTGGCTGTATGCACGTGGTCATGTGAGAGCATTTCGAGAAGGAGATCTAACTCTCCCCACTCTCGGCAATTGGAGGATTAATAGTGGTCTTGACAAACTAGGGCCGCGACCACAGAACTCAAGAGACAACTCCTTGAGGTCGATCACAAATGGCCTTTGCATGAGAATTTCTTGATTTGTTAGCTCCGTACTTTTAAGATCATTCCAATAGCGATGCAAATCCATGGGGTAAAGTGACATGTGGCATTCTCAGAGCCGACTATTACTAATCCCTTCCGTACGTTCTGAAAATGCAGCATTACTGTGAATGTTGACTATCTGAAAGAAACATCCTACTGCCGTTACACTCCTGTGCAGTTAGCAGTACGATTTCACCTTCGAATACCGAGTTACAGCTTTTAGTCTTACTGCTCTCTAACCAAATTGTTTGGGGTAGTAGGGCTTGGGAGGACAAACGCTCCTGCCAATATAACCTGGTTGTCATCACAATAGACAGACCTGAAGACCATGTCAAAGTGGAAGACATGGTAGTGACGGCTCAGTTGATTTAGTAAAATTAGTGGAAATTATTAGTTATTCATGGAAGTAAAAATTACATAGTATCTTATGCCATAAAAAACTGACAATCTTCAGTAAATATTCACTTTAGATTATATTACTTAAAGTTGTTTTATAGTTAAATAGAGAGTCAAATTACTACTGAGACTTAATTAATATCTTATATGAGATCTGTTTGAGTGGGTTTATATTTATTACAAAGTCACATTTAATCATGATGAGGAATAACAATGGTAGAAACATTGTGAATCAAACAGATGACTACTGAATAAGTGCTGTAAATCAGTTGGTTATAAGCAAAGTGGAAAAATAGAACAAAATATTAGACATAAAGGAAAAAGAAAATAATGACTGCATCTGGATTACTGACTGATTTCAGCTAAGTCATTTAAAGTTAATATATTGTCAACTAGTTCGCAGCCTTAATTACATGGAACATAATAAGTTCGTAAAATAAACGGACATTTACAGAGATAAATAATTCACTTCAATAACATTCAATCAACAGTCATACTGTGAAGGATATAGTGAAATTTACGGAATGTGGAAACTAATTACTACTGAAAATAGTTGCGTAAAACTACACAAGAATGTGTATTTTGCGTCTAGTCCATATGCTTCAGAAGTTGTCTTTTTTCCTTTTAAACGTAATTTCTTTAGGATTTCATATCTGTTTAAAAAGGCTTTAGTCACAAGAGCATACATATCATAATGCAGAATGACATCACTGAATTAAAATAAAGACAATTATGAAACATCAACATCAGTTTTAGGGTTTGAAGATTAAGATAAATGTCGTTGGGCAAAAACTAATGTCTGAAAGAATATGGATCGATGAACCCTTACTAGTTGGAAGTGGCAAAATATTTCTTCAAATATGTAACTTATAATCTCACAAGTTGATAACCTTAAACCTAAACCAGAGTTGATGATAATTATCTATTAATCTTAGAACACAACAAATGAACTGGAGATGAAATACGTCCATCTTTAGGACAGGAGCAGTAGATAACTTGTCATTTTGACCCGTAAAACTTCATGAATTTGATGAAAACTTATCAAGAACGAAGTTATTAGGAGTTTCAAATGTCTTGATCGATAGCGTCAACAATGGATCCTATATGAACTAAGTGATTATTGATAGAATGGTATAAAATGGTAAGAAGTGTGTGGCATCACAGGAAAAACTCAGAATACAGCCTGGTCGAGTCATGCTTTTGTAGGTACACTACTTGATGAAATTTTGGGTCATTTTTGTCCTTGGGTAGGAATGTGGTGGTGAAGTGCTGACCTTATTTTTAAAATATTGTATCCTCGGTTCCCTTTTATCCCAAGACGAACCGATTAAACCAGCAAAGATGAATTATAGAGGAATGCAAGGTATAAGTAGTGCCACGTAGTATGAATAGTGTTAAGTATACTGTTTATTAATAACTGCGTAATAAGTAACTTAGGTGGCACATTAAAATTGTACATACTTATTAGTGAAATTAGCACGTGGATAAATCGGTCAACCATATAAACCAACTGAAAGTTATTTTTACAGTGGATTGATTGTGAAACCAAATGGCAAAAGATTGTAAACTCCAGTAACTTGACTATTTTGGGAATATGTACGATTATTGAACAAAGGAGAGCAGTAATCACTTGATAGTTTAATGGAGAAACATTATACCAGTTTTAGTAGAAAAGCGAACAGTATAATAGTATCATGATAACGTGTACCTCTCTTAAAAAACAATTAAGAGGGACTAACTAGAACATTTCACTAGATTAACAAAATAACTGTAATTACTACCTCCTTTTCTGCATTGAATCGTCTGCTAAAAAGTACATTTCACACTCTTTTTAACCTGATCAACTACTATCAGAACAAAATTGCTAGTTTTCATTTTAAAAGGACAAAAAATACATGTAGAACGATTAAGGAAAATATTGAAAAATAACTAACTTGTTCATTGGTTGTCATTCCTCGGGATATTAGATATACATGGAATGAAGTTAGTCCAAAAACCGGAATAAAACTAACACCAACTAGAGAAAGTGTAATAATTCTATAACGGTGAGTTAAGGTGGTAAAACAACCAAAACTGAATCAAAAGTAGTGATAGGAAACAAGTCAAATCTGACAAAATTTTAAGCTAATTTTGAGTTGAGTAAATTAAACATTGTTGATGTATGTTTTTCGTATTTTTTTTTTAGAAATTCTGCTGATGCTGTCGTTATAGATATAAAGGATGCTAAACAGAGACGGTCGGTCTTAAGTTTTTAATGTTTGGCTTCTACATCTAATCGGAAAAAATTGGGGTTTTGTGACGCTTGTAGTTAAGTAGGATTTCCAACGCCAAGAAACGGATAAAGTCACACTCAATTGTTCATAAATTAAATAAAAACAGGCTAACTTGTCGAAAAATATATATTTCGTCTATGTGTAACACGAAAATGTTTGGCACAGCAAGACCTGAATCAAGTAAGATAATTTCTTAAGAATCCAAGTCGTAAAAAACTGGCAAGAATGATAACACTAAATGTAACATTATAAACGAAAATAAATAAAGACCGTACCCCTCCCAGAGGTGGTCAATTATTTGTTTGTGCTTACATTTGAGTCGCACTTTGTCAAGTCTACAGATACTACATAGCTCCTCAAACCGAAATAAATGGCTCGGAGCACGGATCCCAATAATTGAAATACAGGTATTTTTTAATAAGTCACCACTCTACATCCCTTAATGTACAACCAACTGTATATCCTGCAGGGTCACCACTAGTTATAAATCTCATGTGATAACTTCAAAAGTCACAGAGTTGGATAATCGCTACGATCCCATATGGAAATTGCTGTCAGACTAAGACGACCATGAATTCAATATGCTGCATTATTTCATGAAGAATCTCAGTTCTGTATACAACTAATTCCTCGGCGACAACGATGGTCGAAAAAATCACTTAACGTAGAGGAGTCCGTCGTTACAAACACGGGTCAGAACAGCCAGTATCCGAGTTGTACACCCGGAATTTCGCGGTTAGATTAACGGTGTGGTACCAAGGTGGCTTGAATAGGAGTTTCTGAAAGCATGAACGTCTACCCTCAATATTGATGAAAATTATTTAGGTGGCAGTTACAAACAGAACAGATTTAATTTCTCCAGACCTTTGAAATAACTACATCTAAGCTGCCTCATGGCCAAATAAGTAGAGAAACAAGATGAGCTAAATTGCTGTTAGTTTACTTCTTCAATATTAGTGGATGCTATAAATAGTTAAAACGATAAATATCCAAAGATCTGATGTAAAAGAATTTATCGATGCTAAATGACAACCATGTATTTCTAGTGTTCCTATGTAAGCAAAAACGAGAACACAAAGAACTAGGGTCGGAAAAGTATAGAGAAAACAAACCCATATGGCACAAAGGATACCGTATAATATTTGTATAGAATACGATCGGCTGATCGTTAAGTAATAATGATGCTAGGGTTACACTAAACACGGCAATCATATGAAGTGTAAGCGAAATTAAGAACATGAAGAAGTAACGCGCGTTTCTTTTTCCAATACAGTTATTGACCCAAGGACAATGATGATCAAAAGTCTACCAAGGAGTAATATAATTAACCTGATGCTTACATCCACACACCGGTTACAAATAGAGCAATGTGAACACCTTGGGGGACGGTAGAACAAACATGTACTGCACCACTTGACTTTGGCCAATACTCCATTAATATTATATTCACGATGAACAGGAGCAGACTTGGTTTCTTCATATTCAGCCTCCCCTTCCGTTGCTGGCGAGAGATAAATGTAAAGAGAGATCACCTACCGAAAGGAAAATAACCAGGGTCCATGAAAGTTGTTCGCGTTAGACAGCATAACACATAAAAAACTAGGATAGCATGAAGAACAAATATAGACCAGGAGTAAGTTGCAGCGAACTGGAAACAACTATTTAAGGGTGAGTAATATAGGTAAAAACTGTGTTACATGAAGGTGAGGTATACCGCCGTGATACCTACTATAAGACTCCAGGCGACAACAGCTGGAATAACGTCGGCAACTTTAGCAGAACACATCATATATCACATTTTAGCAGGAGGATCTAATCACCCGCTGCTTATATTAGGCATCTCTGGGAGCGACCTTGAGGATTTGAGTTTAGTCAGTCCTTTCAATAACAAATGTAATAATAGGGTTGCTAAAGCTAGTTACAGTCATGCTTTCATCTTGATGCTGTGTTATGCTTCGATATCTTCACATAAATAAAGTGAATCTAGTCTAACAAACTGACCGTTGTGTATTGAAAGAGCCATTTAAAGTTAATACATTTTCTGAATAGACAGATGTAACACTAACTCTCTGAAATCAGGTGTTTCGGAAGCACTCCGCACTTACGCTGAACTTGTGGTAAATGTACAGAATTGTTTTTTTAAATGGCCACTGCTAGTCGAGGAAGCTTTGTCAAGCATCATCATATCACGGTATAACTTGACCGGAAGTGCCTTTAGCATCCTTTATGGCCTATCTATGATTGTTATGTTTCCCTCTCCAGCGAACAATCAAATATACCTTTCTTTCATACCGTTTTCACCCTCCCCCTCATATGTTATCGATTCAGATTGGTAAAGAAAACCTGGGCAACGGTTTTCTATCCTTTTCAACACCGCTACACATCTTTATTGGTAGGCTACTGATGGCCGGATATTCCAAAGGGCATGTTAGAAAGTTATACCACATTTTAACCCGTAGCGGTAAATAAATCCCCAAAATCAATAGCTCTGTAAGTCCTTGACGTTTACTGACTGCATTAGTTTTACTGGACTCACCTAGTTGAAGGCGTTCAGTCATGCATCCACACCAGATCACAAGTGGGTACGCTGGACTACATATCTACAACCGCTAGCCAGCTGAGATTATTCACTTCTAGATATACTGGCAGCCTACCAACTATATCTTCGAACCTCCTCACTTCTGACTTCTGATTTGATTAGGTTGGCATGCTTCGTTTATAAAGGGCGATACTGGTTATGGTGATGTCAAACTCCGAATACTTGTGAAATCTATAAACCTATGTGTATTTCATGCATATTCGTTTTAATGTTTCTGACGAGTATTTCTCTTCAAGATGCTACAATTGCAATTTGTTTCTTATTTTTAAAAGAGACAGTGGGTAAATCAGCATTTTCTGCAGGCTGGAATTTACCAGGAACCTCGCTACTGATGGGTGCACCATGAGAGAAAGATGTTACATATCCCATATCCAGAGTGCTGATTTCTGCAACCCGTTTCTTTAACTTTTAAAGCCTTTACAAACTTTTAAACTCTACTAAGAAAATATTCACATAAGAGATCTTTACAAGTACATGATGGCAAACACCGTTGGTGGTGCTGGTACCATAACACACGCCACAAAACGTCTTCAAACTGCTGAGAACTATGTAATTATTTTGACAAAAAGTTTACCATTACTTATTCTATTACTACGACGAGTATTTACCCTATCCACACCCTTTAACAACAGTTATAGCCGGTGTGAATGATCATATGTTCCGGTCACTGGTCGATGCAACGATAAAATTGGGTAGGTCATGTCGGTAGCATATCTCTCGCTCCACGATTTTCACCACGTTGGTTACCGTGTTGTTCTGGTTATTTGTGACAGCAACCCATTATCCTTTTTTGTTAATGAACTTGAAAATGAAACCTTCAGTGCGTGAGAGTGAGAGTTTGTCCGTATAGCCATGAAGCTGCTAACTGAAGTCCTAGTTAGTTTTCCAACATAAGTGTAGGAGTTCAGGAGCTCACATTTTCCTGTGACTTCTGTCTTTTGTGCACGCTATTTGGGATTCAGTTAGCTTGACTACACAACACGAAATATTTTCCAAGGGCGGCCCCTTAGGTTCGTCAATCGTGTAGGCCGGGCAAATGTATTGGAACCACGGACGAGAGTAAACCTCAACCCACATGATCTTACGGTGGTCCAAATTAGGCAGTTAGGAGTTGGTCTATATTTTTCTTGGATCACAACAATAAAGATAAGAAGTGTTTTACTCCCCCATTTTGTATAAGCTCTGTATTTATTGTTTCTACACTGAGTAGTAGAAGGTTTGTGTGTTTAAATTAGGGACTCCCACTACACGTATTCTAGGCGCTGTGTAATAGATCTGACACAATGACCTCAAAGTCTCTGGAATATCTGTACAACTAGTGGTTATTAAATGTCTGATCTTCTTGTTTCAGATCACACACAACTATCCATTCAGAATATTCTTATTTTGGCATTCTGTGGCATTATTTGTAAGAAACTTCATAGAATATATTTGGGCACAAAATACTCGTTTCCGTAGTACTTGTTTCCGCTTTGGTCAATAATGGTTTTCAACATTTAACGTTAGGTATTCATTGACCAGTGGGGATGAATTATGGCAATGGTTTGGTGTTACCACATTGTGCGATTATCTCCAAAAATTGCATCATAAGAGTTTGGGACTTATGTCGCTCAGACGTTTGCAGTAAAGACTAGCAAATTCATTTATATACTTCATAGCCAGTTTGACATGAATGTAGATATCGGAAAGACTATATACAGCATATAATATTCAGAAAATAGAGAGTAATTGTTATTTGCGATACAAGATCCGAAAAATGAGACCGACAAAATCTAGACAAAGAAAGAATATATTCAGCATGCTAAAACGTTTGGGCATTTGGGTGTAAGTAGTCAGTTTGATATTTTACATGAAGCGTTTTTAAGCGACTGTTCTTAAAGCAAGTAAGCAGAAGGAATGAGCAGAAAAATACATGCAACTGATCATGTACACTCACTCAAAAACATAGCTACGGGACAATTATTATGTTGAAATGTATGAGAAATAATACGAGGCGAAATGAAACTATTTTCCATCACAAATCAGTTCTAAAATACTCAACTACCCTATGGACGTGTTTGTAAGCAAAAGCAAAATAGATTGGAGGTATTGTTTCCTGAACTTTAAATCTGATACGCCAAATTTTTTCACTCTGCTTCATTTCAACGATATATAGTTTTCATCAAGAACCTTTTCACTTACATTCTGTGGATTTTCCTGCTGATTTTTAGACGTCCTGGACTCAATCTTTGATGTCAATGTTAATACTGATAGTAGGTGTCTAAATCAAATATATCTATCTATGCTTTAAGGATTGCTCTTCGATTTTATGCTTGATTAAGTGTCATGGGGATGCTTTTCAATAAAAATGATAGATCTAATCCCGAAATTGTAGATTTGCAGTGATGTGACTACCTAATCTATATGACCTTACGTGGAAGTCACATCATTATCTACACTGATTTATCGAATCGCGACAGTCAGCAACACTATGCTAGCACTTCTAAAGAACACGTTTGAGCTGGGAATAGAATAATATATTTCATATGGAACAACCACACCTGCAAGGCTGAGCCATTCTATACCGATTCATTCTTCCAGAGTTGACTATTCACGACCATCTCTTAGTGTTACATATCGACAGCGAGTCTCAGTAATTATACGCTCAGATTCAAAGGACTAATGTCACTGGGCTACAATTGGGTGTTTGAGTAGTAGTTTTGTGAATTTCCGAAAGCTGTTATGTATGTCATGTATTTATGAGCGATATGGCATACAGACATGAGTGTGCGGCCATTATGCGTATAAAAGTTGATAAATTTGGTTACTTCTATGTTTCCTCTTAGGTATACCGATGACGAAAACCGTAATTCACCAAGACTCTTCCGTCAATTGCTGTGTATACAAGTATTGTAAGAATTTCGATCGTCTCAGCTGGAAATTAAGAGGATAGTCTCTAGAAGTCCGACTACAACACTAGAATTCTCTAAAAAAACCGTGAAGACCATCTGAATTTAATAAATAAAATGACTTTAATCTAAGTTGTATGTTTAAAAAAAGTGTAACGTAAGGTACCAAATCTTGACACAAGTGGTGCGAAACTTGCAAATTATGCTCGTAGGATTGGTCTAATCTAAGAACTTATGCCCTCAAAGCTAACAATGTCTGCAGCCGGAATGAGATAGGAGAAACGTAACTGAATTAAAGCAACTTTGGGGTGGCTTGACTTTCTGAGATCTTAAACATCTGAGATTTCCCCGTGGGTGGGTCTGAAGGACATTTAGTTCCACGTTTGGTGATCAATCTTCATTAGAAGATATACTTCTACTTCTGAGGGTGATTTACTGGTCAGTTTTGCTTCAATGACTGTAAATTCTCTGAAACTAAGCTTCTAACTATGGTATGTTTGGGGTTATTACTGCTTACTTTAACTTTAAAAAAATCTTGAGAGATTCCAACTCACATTGGCGTTTCCTTCATACAACGGGGATTGCTGCCCTTATCAATTTTCAACTCTCTTAAATACTTGTAAATTTAGATGCGTTTTCCAAAGTATTTAAGCTGTAAATTCAGTTTGTCAGATGGAAATCTCTTGTGTTTTGTATTTAAGCGAGGGGAATGAACTCTATTGTTCAAACAATCAGTGTATAAAATAATTTAGAGTTTAAATTAGGAGACTCTAGAAATGGTGATGAAAAACATATTGTTCTCATATCTTTTGTTTTATGTTTCTTAACAATTGCTCGTATAGTGATTTGGTGACCTTGTAAGTAACCAACCGTTTGATGTTTGGTTATGTAACTCAATCGTAGCTTTACGATATAAACTTTTAGTTCCGATTGTCAGATTGTCATAGTCTCACGGGAGCATAGTTTGTTACTGTTTTGTTTTGGTTTTATGCCTAAATGTAAGTGAAATTTATGTATTAACTAAGTCATTTGCTCACTCTTTTCTGCATTCTTTTAATTCCTAGATCCTTTCACTCACTGTTGTGCACTCTCACAGCATACGAGACACGTTTAGGCGAGATATGAACCCATCAGAGGCTTAGAGTTGCAGCTACTTGTGCATTGAAATAGTCAGGTACTAGTGTTCAAATTTGAACACTTTTAATAAATAAATAGTAGTGGACGATATTCATAAACGCTCTCCTCTCAGACCAAAAAACTCTTTAAGGTTAAGTTTTTTAGTGAATGATTAATTGATAGATACCAGATGCTTTTAGGTCAAGGTTATGAAACACATGTGACTGTTTATCACATTAAAGTCAACTAGATTTCCTATTTTAATTGATATTAACTAAGCACTTTATGTATATCAATCGCTTAAGCCAATTATTAGTACAATGGGGGAGTAACTGATACAGAACGAGATTTAATCACTGTTTTATATTGTGACAAAACTTGGGACTTGGGTTCTGAACAACCAATCAGGTGTCATTTTCTCACTCGAAATACTTGACTATAATTGTACGTAAGGTCAGACGACACGCATATTGCAGTGAACAATTGTCTTAGCACAACCTGAAAGCTATACATTAAATACCCCATTTGCAAAGTATCAGCCAATCGTCTCAGACTTCATTGTTCTTTCGATTCTACATCAATCATTCTTTGTTCTCGTTCTCTTTTCTTTGATCTTAACTTTCTGCCGCCACTTATTTGACTTTTGGTTGATGCATATTACTTATATCAGTCGACATCGATTTATAGTTAAAGACTAAAAAAATCATAGCAGCAAACATATCTAAAAAGATCAGCAATTTCTCACAAATCAAAAGTAATATACAATATACCTGGCCTCAGCAACAGCACACCGCTTTATAAAAATGACTTTATTTACAAATATTCCGATGGTAATCTAAGAATAAAACTAACTGATAGTATGGGCGAAGATGTTATTTCCCAAATAAAGGTATGTAAAACTTTCATACTTGGAAAGCATGGAAATTGATGAGAAACGTCTTAAATTTGTAGCGTCAAAGATAAATTATACTACTCAATAGAGTGTTGTAGTCGGTCGGACGTCGTCTGGTTTTAGTGTTCTATGGCTTTACTTTCACGTATTTTTTTTATAAAAAGGACTATTCAAAACACCGGATAAAAGTTTGCATGTAATTTGTGAGGCATAAACTCAGCGTATTGCCTGTCTAAAATATCACACTCCAGTGGTTTTTTGAAAAATCAAGGATAGTTGCTCCCATTTATTGTCATCAAAGTAACAACTTAAGGATGGAGCAAAATTGTCTAAGGGATAAATAACCCATGATGGACGTCTTGAAAATGGATTTTTTGATTGTCATTTTCATGTGTGTCTTGACACAGGCTTTCTCTTGATGTACATGCGTTTTCAAATATCTGAGTAAGTAGCAAATCCGCAGCTTCTTGTTGCTATTATTTTGGATATGACCGGTAAGTACTGAAGAGGGATAAAATTAAGGCTGTAGTAACTTTATCACAAACTTATTATCTAGGAGTAAAAGCACGCTCTGTTTTCAGTGAATCTAACTTTTTACATTGAACAAGATGTCCAATTACTTCAAGAAAGCACTGACTGTTTATCCGAACTGTGTTGAGGACTTCGGATGTTGAGGTGTTGAACATTCTAGTACTTAGTGGACGGGGACCTCATATGGTATGATTAAAGACTGATGACGATGAAGATCGAATTCATTGTTATTCTTTAAACCGTCGGTCTTATTAAGATATTTGCCTGATTGTACTTCCCCACACATTTCTCCTGAGCCATATTTTCATGAGTATTTACTGCCATTTATATAATTATTTTTGTCTGCTTGGTTTTTGTTCCCGTTAATTTTCTTTCACTAAGTTGAATTTTAATATTTCTGACTAATACTCATAAATTGCTTAATCCTTACAGAAAATGCCAATAACTGGGGGTATTGCAGCACCAAAAATTATACCATTAAAGTCAGAAGATAAAGAAACATTACAAGGTTGCATTGATACCCAAACGTTTATTGAAATTGTATCAGGTAATAAAATTATTAGTTAGATTGTGGATAACGATATGTTTCTACGTGTTTGAAAGTCAGTAATATCAGGCGAAACTACATCCTGAATCAACCGGACTTCGAGATTATTTCAAAATGAACAAACGGTGCTTGATAGTTATATTTATATTAATTTGATTAGAACTTGAGGTATTTTGCAAACTCTGGTTTAGATTTCAAGAAGCTTGGTTGTAAAACGCTTTGATTAAATGCATATTACGGTTTACGAAATTAAACGACAAAACTCTTATAATCAATAAAGTATAGTGACAAAACAATGTTCGTAATTTAAACGCATTTTAGTCCGCTATTCATAGAATTTGGTACAACCATTTACTAATGAAAGTTTCTATAACTCGTTTTGGCCCACTGAAGAAGATTTAGGAGGGTGAGAAGTGTTGAAAGTGAAATATCAACTGTAGAGTTGAACTTGATAATGATAAACCTATTTCAAAATGAATTAATGGTATCATACAATAAAGGATATAAAATGACATCAAGCTCAGTTTTTAGGGGAAGATAATGAATACATTCAAGTGCACCAGGGGAACTAATTTGAAGTCATATTACCTTGATTTTACAATCATCATCCACGATTTCATGCTGACACTGATAAAAAAAGTTCTCATCGGTCGATATCAGTCAGTTTTTTAGTTATTTTTCTTATTGACTTATGCCATTTTTTATAGTGAGCATTCAAACCCATTATGTTAAACTACATAGTTAACGATTGTTGATATCTTGTTTAGATCACTAGTATATAGTTTGTTTAATTCAGGTTATTTAAAAAAGTAACTTCACTGATAAATTAACCGTTTATTGTCCTTAAATCTGTGGTATAATAAATTATAAATCCTCCCACTTCAGCTCTATTACAACTGTAATTGCATTTATTCGAAAGATTTTAAAATTTGGTTTGCAAGATACTGTTGCGAAATTTGTGTTAAATTTTAACTAAACACTTGATAAATTTTATGAACTCATGACCATTCTTGTTTTTTTCTTGACTCTTCACATAAAAACCGTTATTATAGATACACCAAACGCACGACTATATTTCACAACAAATGGAAAAAATCCTAACCCATGGAAGAGAAAAGTTGATGGTCGTGAAGTGACTTTTGTGTATAAAGCTCCATTCGCCCTTCGTCCTGGTAAAAGAGTTGTTAAAGCAATAGCTGTTCACAGGTAATCATTTGGCTTGATCCAAAAAATTGACGTATTTGCAAAACAAAGATATCAAAACTGTTTCTTTATTATGTACCGAATCCATCATAAAGTGATTATTTAATATACTCAATATAAGATGATCATACCGCCAGGACACAAATGTTTAGAAGCTTGAGGGCTGTGTTCAGTAGTGACTAACTTTGAGAAGCATTTCAAAGGTTTAGTGGGAAGCCGTAATAGGTGGAGTTCAGCCACCACCAGGCATAAGACATATTACCGATGGCAACTATATTTTTCACTCACTTGTCCAATGATTTCTGATTTTCAGTGGTTGTTCAGCTGAAATCAGCCTGTTTTGTAAACTAGAAGCATATACTACGTGATTATGACCGTGGGCGTGTATTTTTCAGTACGAAATAATGTGATCTATGACGAGATGAGATACGTTAATAATGCAAAATCTGCGGCTTAATTTCCTCCAAAAGCCAAAACACCTGACAAGTATAATACCAAACAATAATAAACACTAATAATGTTACTTGAAACATTCAAAAAATTATTATATAGATGTCCTTATAGTTAATTCATCAACCAATGAAATTAGAACCTGACTATTAGGCATGACTTTTGTCTTGTATATTTATAAATAACGCTCCAAATCACTCGTATACTGTTAATGATAACAGTGGTCTCTACTTTTAAAATCATGTAAGTTAAAATTGTAGTTATTATTGGGCATTCCGTCTGACACAGATAAGTGTCCAATTATTTTTGCGAAAGAAATAATTGCCTTTAAATGTGTATTTATAATCATTCATGAACAACAAGTTTGCTAAACGTTTTTGAATACATCTACTAGCTATTATGATAGTTTAAATGATTGATTAAATTACAAGATTGAGTTAGGTGGTCCAATTAGTGATTTTAATCACGGGATACAATCAAATCTTAATCAAACAAATTCTAAAGTACATAATCAGTAGGGTATTTAACTATGATTACTGGGATTAAAGTTATTACTTGTCTGCATAATATTCAGTCAATATTATCTTTTTACCGAGTTATAAATTGAATAATAAATTTTTGATTAAGAATAAGAATTAACAAAAGGGGTTTTGTGGAGATTTTAGAAATTTAACTGGTTGAAATCATGAGTCAATTGAAACTAGACCACTATGGAAAACCTGGAAGCACTAGACGGCCGTTTCGTCCTGGTATGGGGCTCCTCAGCAGTGCACAGTGGTCTAGTTGGTTAGGCGCCTGGCGCGAGACTGATAGGTCCTGGGTTTGGATGTCGCGGGGTGCGGGATCGTGGATACGCACTGCTGAGGAGTCCCATACCAGGACGAAACGTCCGTCCAGTGCTTCCAGGTTTTCCATGTTGGTCTAGCTTCAATTGACTCATTTCAACCAGCGAAATAAGAATTAACGTCCCAAAGTAGTCAGGTATGTCTGATTTCTTTGAGTTGTAACATTTCATTTGGTTAACTAATAAACTAGTGCATAGTCAACAAATCAAAGATACTGATTTCAGGATTGAAATGTAATATAATTACCTTTATCTATAAGAAAAATACTTAAGATTACTTACTGAAATTCAGAACATCTACCATATAGATGAAATCTGTATAAAGAAACTAGTTTATCAAAGATTACATCATCCTATATTTTATCTCTATTTCTTTCTATTCATTTTACTTATATTTCATCTTAGTGTAACAAATGTGGAAAGTCATACTGTCACACGAAAATTTAGAGTTATAGATAGTGGTAATAAAGATAAACGGCTTCACAATGGAGATAAACCTACTGGCATGGAAAGTGATGAAGAAAATTTATCAAGTGATGCTTTGGAAATGCTTGATAATTATGATGATGATGATAACGATGGTGTAAATGGTAATGTTTATAGTCCAGCTATAATACGAAAAGTAAGTTGTATTTTTCAATTATGACTAATTCACAATGCACGTCACTGACTGACCTTACTTAAACAATCAGTCAAAACTAGGAAACAATGAACGGCTATTTTGTTCTAGTATAAGACTTTTAAGCGGTGTATATCCATGATCCCACCTGGGATTGTACTCAAGATGTGCAGATCTTGTGACGTGTGCTTGACATTTAGACCATTGAACTGTTATGTTCTGATTGGGGCTAGACATGTAAATCATTTGAAGGTGGATGAGTGATCTGACGGTTAAGCCTTTACCATGAGGTTAAGAGATCCTGGGTTCTATACCCAACGGGTTAGTGGATGTTCATTGTTTCCTGGTTTTTACTAATTGTCTAATGTCAGTCAGTGATGTTAACTATGAAATTCAACACTCTTTGCAAACCTACTGTCCTATAACTAATTTATTTTTTGTTGTTGTATTTTACTAGCAAAATGATGACTACACAGATGATGTAATTGAAAACTTTATGCGTAGTAAGTTAAGTTACTGGTTGACATCATTATCTCATATTTTTTTCTTATCCTTAGTACATATGCTTTACAAATGGTCAACATATGGTATCTGGATTATTCTGTGTACATATAAATTCAGATTATAACGTTTAGTGTTCACATATCCTGACAACAATTTGACTAAATTGTGCGCAATTTTAGTTCATAGTAGTATTAACAAGAATCAATATGATAAACAATCAGAATTTTATCAGAAAGGGGTTTTGTGAAGATTGTAGTAATTTTAAAGTTGAATTCATTAGTCGATTAAAGCTAGGCTATCATGAAAGATCTGGAAGCACTGGACGGATGTTTCGTTCTAGTATGAGACCCCTCAGAAGTATGCACCCACGATCCCGATCCATGGTGATCTAACTTTAATTGACTCATGAATTCAACTATCAAAATTACTACAATCTCCACGAATCCTGCCTTCTGATAATAATCATCATGTGCTCACTAGTGACTGGCTTCAAGATGTATTTCCTGGAATTCTAGTGAGAAGCCGTGACCAATGGAGTTCAACCGTGTTTGTTGTTAGGAAGTGACTCACTGAAGATAATAGTCAACAGTGGTTCAATTTCGTGGACTGGTTGAAATTAGACATTAGCACCATCGGGTGTCAGTTCAACGGTCTAGAGGCTAAACGTTCGGGCGCAAGATCGAAGGTCCTTGGCCCGAATTCCACGGGTGGGATCATGATTGCGTACTGCTGGGAAGTCCCACATAAGAACAAAACGGCCTTCCAGTGTTTCCAGGTTTTCAATGATGGTCTAGCTTCAATCGACTCACGAATTTAACTAGTAAAATCACAATTTTTTTAACATCTATGCATACATATGAATCTTTTTTTGCATATTAACTAACTATCCTTCCAACTTTGATAATAAGACGATTGATAATAAACTTTAATGTAAATATAGATTGGTGAAATATCAAAACTTAATGGCATTTACTGTGATAAATTACGGGTCATTATTGTAAATTGTTATGAAAATGGTTTAATTTGAAGTTTTTGATTAGAAACTAACTTCAATTAGATAATGACTGAAAACAAAGAAAGGTAATAGATAACGATTTCGTCTTTGTGTGGGACTTCTTTACAGCACAATTAAATCTCATAATAAGTACGATAAATTTTTCTCAGTTCCTCATCGTGTTTCAGGTTATCTATAATAATGAGCATTAGTTTATTAAGGATATAATGCAAGAATTTGGTTGAATGATGCAAGCAGTGTCAAATTACAAAGTTTTATTAAATTCTATGGATAGATTATGTAATTCATTATGATCACAAATGATCTTTTTACTATAAAGAATTTTATTATATTTTTTTCTCTTTAAGGAAATGCAGATCAAGGTTTTGCAGCGACAAATCATTCAGGTACACAAATTAATCTATGGGGTCAAATGCCAGGTTTGAATTGGGATATACGTACACCGAATTCAAGTAATATTTCTGGTTCATATCCAATGCTTAATAATAATACAATACCATATTGGTCTACACAACCATCAATAAATATGGAAAATTTTGTAAGTCCACAACAATTAAGCGCAATAGCAAATCATCTTACACAAGTAAGTAGAAAAGAAAAAACTAAGGTGTTTATCATTATTATTCTTAGTAAATCTGTTTTGAATAGGTTACTATAGTTTCCTTATAGATATTGATTGTTTACATGAATTTTGATAAAGAAAACGTAAACAGAACTTGTGAGCGGATAGTAAACCAGATTAGAATTCATATAATAAAACAGAATGTTGAATTAAAGAGATAATATTAAAATAGGAATAAAAAATTGTACAAAATTTCGGAACAATTAACAGAATCGAACTGTTGAGGAGTCTCATACTAGGACGAAACGGCCATTCAGTGCTTCCAGATTTTCCATGGTGGTCTAACTTTAATCGACTCATGAACTCAACTATTAAATTAACAGAATGTTTGAAAAAAAGAGACTTGGTTATTACCCTAATAAATTACTTTAGTTTGTCAAATGTTCCAATCTATTTAACATTGAGTTAAAGTATAAATACGGAGAGACTATAATTTATGGACAACTTTTGATCAACTCTGAGGTGACCTTGAGAATATTCACCCATTGACTTAGGTTAAAAGATGATTGTAAATTAATGTGAGGAATGAGGATTAGGATTCAGAAAGCTAGAGTTTTCAATAACTGACAGTGCTGTATAGTCATATGGATGAATGGATTTTTCACCAGAATTCAAGATTTACTAGGTCACATCTGATTGGTTTGTCCATAGGTTATAGTCTTGAACATTCAATGTCATATTCACTGATAAAAGCAATTACTCTAGTTTTCAGTTTAACAGTAAATAAAATACTGTTCATTTAGCGAACTGATTGTCTTGAACTATAAGGACAAGTGACATAAATTGTATTATTTATGCAGGGAAACTATTGTCTTTTACCTTAGCCGATTGAAATTACTGGATACACTGACTTCATTACTGTTCTAGTTACATAATTGATAAATCACTCAACGTTTTCTTCCATCTACAAACATCTAATCAAAACTCTAAATAGCTAGATAAGTTTTCTCAAGTTCTTTCATTATTATTATTATTATAACTTATATGATTAATTGTGAAACATAAGACCACAATTTACCCCAAATAATAAATTTCAATAAATACATAACTACGACATCTATACGGAGCTGAGTAACAGATTTATAATTAACTGGTTGTAATTTATAAACAATAAAAGAAAGCAACAATTAATAAGTTCAATGATGAGTGATTATTATTGAGACTATAAAAAACTGCTGTTGACAAACATTCGTCATGAATTTAAAAACTTATCCTTTCCAAGGGAGTAATTATCCAAGTTTCATATCCACGTTTTGTCGCATCTTCTTAACACAAATATTCCTTCCTTAATACATATACAGCATTTTTTTTCTTCAGTTGTTTAGTAAAACAATAAACACTAGACTGAAGTTTATGGCTCATAAAACTTTAGATCTGATAATTGTTTAATATTTTGGTATGAATTTAAGCAAACAGAATATAAGAGAATGCTGTGTAACAGTTTGTATAAAGAATAAACTTTGTTGTTGGTTATAGTCAATATGAGGTCTGACTAGAAAGTTTATTGGTTCATGTTACTTGACCTCATATCAGGATAGTATTTAGAAAAACAAGAGATGAATAAATGATTGTTGGGGACGTTAAATTTCCAGAACTCACTTGGGAAAGAACCTAATTTTGTAATTTTATTTAGACAATTTGAATCTCTTGTCACCTTCATGTCGTATTTCCCACTGGGAAATATCTCAAATGCTATTGGTCCGTTGCGTCTCTTAGTATCCTATTTGGTAATTCTCCCCAAGGACGTTTTTGCACTGTATATATACGTTTTGAATTGTGTTTGTTGTTATCGCTCGTTTCTGGCTGTTTTGCAGAATATACTTCCCATTTCAAGCTTAGATTTCTCCCTCTAGTTAGCGGGACTGGGACTCATCAACAAGCTAGCTTACTGGTCTTCGATCACTGAGTCTTTGTTCTCGTTCGCAGATTAAGTGAACTCGTGATAGTTTCAAACGTGGCAATAATATTATTAACTCGAATGAAAAACAAAATAATATGAAATACAGTACAATTCAACAATATCCGGTATGAGACAAGGATTATCAGTGAGAATGGGTGACTGTCGCTTGATATAGAGAACTAACTAAAGTTAAAAACTATAAGCTAATAAATCTCAGCTCATTAGTTTAAAGGTTAAGCTCTCGCTGGGACATGAAGATCCTGTATTCCACCCTCGCGTGGTCGTGGATGTTCTGCTATTGAGTCCGGAACTTGGATGAGACTGGTGTCTAGATGTTATTTGTTATCTGTAGTTGCCAAGCTACAATCAGTTGGTGATGTAAAAATTCAAATGAAAGATGCAGATTAAAAGAAACAGATAAGATAAAATAATATCAATGTATGGAATGACACTAAACATGAAATCTGATAGAAACTAATTATTGAAACTGCAGCACTCTATCGATAGCATTACTGTATTCCTAATGATCTGTCATTTCAGGTAGACTGATTGGAGACTAACAAATGTCAATTTTAGGTTCGGGAATGAATTTAAAATAGCATATAGTTGTTTCTCATATATATTCAACATTAGAAATAGTGCCTCTTCTACAGAGGGAAGGTGTTAAAAGCAATCGGTTCCAATGAAGCGCACTCCTAATAGATTGTTGATAATGGTGGTTAGGTTTGCATAGTTACTGCGCCAATATTGTAAATATGGGCACGCATGAAAGGTACATCCTCCTTTGCTTTAACAATGACCCATGATTTTATTACTGCTTAAAAATTGCTACATGTGTTATGGTGATGACTTAGGTGATACGTTTTAGATAGTTCAAAGTACCCAATTGAGATAAACTTAAGTTTTTATTTTAACCTTTTTATTTTATGTATACCCATAAGATTTTCTATTTCTTTTGTTTAAAATTTCAAATCGAAAGCCATCTAATATATTTCGTTGTGACTCCAGGTGGAATCCAAGGCTTATGTTTCTTTCTGTTTGGATCCTTCCCGTGAATTTACTTGTGTCCATGTGTAAATATTAGCATTGAGAGTCGAATAAAGCATCTACTACTCCAGACTTCAATGCTTTATCCACTACTTTCCAAAATCAAGTTAATCACCAAATTATTCATTGACTATTAAGGTTCTAGTAAGCATTTCCTTGCAAGCACAAATAAACTACTGTGAATTTATATTGAATTGAAATACCCAAATGAGAAAGTGTACGGCATAATAAGCAAAAATGAATAGTAGCTGGCAGTGAAATCCAGGACGCGCGTTTTGTCCTATTTGGGACTCGTCAGCTGGATGTAACTACATCGCAGAGTTGATGTTCACTCCGAGACTCAAACCCAGTACCGTTCGCTTCAAACACTATCGCGTTATCCATTCAGCTACTGATTCTTGTTAGCCACTTGTTTGTGCAATGGGGTAAAGTTGAAATTCACTTGGTATTGTTTACTTGGATCTTCCCATTGATGTTTATCACTGCAATCTATCAGTCTCTTAAAGGAATATGTGCACACTGTGACTATTGCAACTATCCATCTTTGCTTATAATGCTAGTAAATTAAGGTAATATCGAGGCAATACACAAAGTATGCACATATGCCAATAGGAGATTGATCTATTGCAGTTCTAAACACCAATAGGAAGATTCAAGTAAATAATACCAAGTGGATATTATAAGTTTTAACATAATATGTTTTAGTCAACATGAAATATAAATCTCCATCCAGTTTACTTAATTCATTTCTTTAGTGTATTGATCAAACACGTCATATGACTGTGACAGAAGTTCGAGAACTTATAAAACAAGTAACAGAGAAAATTACACCAAAACAAAATGATTCTGTTAATTCTATAAATCAATCATTATCAACAATAAGTCAAGGAATGGGCAATATAAATGAACAAATTGAACATGTAAAATATCATTTAATTGAATACATAAAACGAGATAAGGCATTTGCAGGACTTTTATCACAAGCTAAAATTGGTAATGTAAGTTGTTGAATTCATTATATTATTATTATGTTATATTATATTGAAAAGATAATCACTATAAGTTCATATTACTAAATATACATTTTGATGTCAGGGTTAAAACAAGATTCTTGTATTATGTTAAGGCCTTTGTGAACGAGCTATAATTATATAAGTGATTATATAATTTATAGATCAAGTATTACTCTAACCTGTATAAGACCAATGATCTTTAGTAGATAGTATTTCAGTGATGTTCTTTTGATAAAGAGATCAATAGTTTGCGTCTATTGATAACTTGAATATACAGTTTTGCTAGTTGGATAAGAATTGGATTAAAGCATGTTCCGTGCGGAATTATGTTGGGGCACTCTGTTTGGTTATTACTTATCCAATTACAGCTAGTGGGTACTTGGAGAAGTCTCCAGAATCTTCTCATGTGAGAACTGTTAATATGCTAATGTTGCTTTTATTGTGATTCTTACTTCAATCCAACCTTTTGATTTGAAATATAATTACGTTCCTGTTTAACCATGTTCTGATTTGGGGACTTGTCGAGTGAAGTAGTATCCAAGATTACTAAGCAATAAATGTAGCTGGGTCGAAATAAGAGAAATTATAACACAGTTCAACGCATAACTTAAACTAATATGATAATAATTTAATAGTTGAGTTCATGAGTCTATTGAGGCTAGACCACCATGGGAAACCTGGAAGCACTGGACGGCCGTTTCGTACTAGTATGGAACTTTTCAGTAGTGTGCATCCGGACCTTTCTGATAATAATCATTATGTACTCAATAGTGATTGGCTTCAAGAGGTATTTGCTGGAGTTCTGGTGAGAAGCTGTGACCAGTGGAGTTCAACCGTGTCTGTTGTGAGATAGTGACTCACTGAAGACAATGGTAATGTGATAATAGACAAAAGTTTACAGATCACACCCCAACATAAATAAGAAACTATAATATGGGCATAATTATACCATAAGTGGAAAAACAACTAATTAGTTGGCTCACAATTAATTAACAGTAACTCAGAACAACAGTTTATGCATCAAATTAGAATTTTACAACTAGGGCAAATAAAAGTACAATGATCCAAGTTTTTAATAACTATACGATGAAAATCTAAGGTTAACCGCGAATTCGCACTTTTAGAGCATTTGTCGTATTATAGCATAGTTTAAAGGTAATGAAATAATATGTTCAATTAACAACCAATGTAATGATCATTTAGTTATTTTGTAGTTTTTACATCATGGACCGGCTGAAAACCAGGAAGTACTAGGCAGCTGTTTCATCTTACTATGGAACTACTCAGTAGTACACATGCACGACACTGCTAAGAATTGGACCCACGATATTTATGCCTCTCAGCAACTTCTTATTCTTCAGGTCATCCAGTCAATGTTCAATGACTTATGTTTTTAACTTCAGTCGACCATCATCTAATGATTTTGGTGATAAGTGATGCACTACCGACGTTATTGAACTCCAATAGCCATGGCTTCTCGTTAAAACTTCAGGGATTACCCCCGAAAATTAGTCACTAGTGAAAATATGATTATTATTAGTACTGGGATTGGCGAGTTACAGCGATTGTTTAACTAAGGTCGCTTCTTGATGCAAACTACAAACTCCAACAATCTTCACAAACCCCCACCCATAAACCTTCATTGTTTACCTAAACTAATGGGATTTTACTTTGTAAATTTTGAGCTTTCATTTTTCTTACTACTAACCTCAATCCGATATTTCCATCGCATTCACTGCTATTAATACCTCTCTTTATATGTTCATCGTGATTATGGTTTGGTGTCCTATTGATTTTTTGTATTTCGAAGCTATCCATTTTACTTTGTCTGACTTAAGTGATAATCCTATCCTACCTCTTTTTATTGATTATCTTCGGTTGGGTGAATATCAATAATCCGTTGTCCATTATAATCTGAGTTTCTAAACAAATTATTTACTAAACATTCTAAGATACTTTTGGAAACTGTATGTAATAAAGTCTCTCATAAATGACGCATATTGACATCTATTTTTTCATTCTCTCTCACACTCACACACACACACCTTTCAGGTAATCTCTGCAGATTTCGATGAAAATGAAGATAGCTACTTATTAACAATCCATCTTGATAAACCAATTAAAGCTAAAAAACCCCATAGAGATTCTCAAGATTCAGGAAAAAAATCAAATCAAAATAAATCAATGGGACCGCCTAAAACACCAACACCTAACAGACCAAGTTCCCTTAAAAAAGAAAATATTCCTTATTCACCAGAAAAGGTTAGTTATTTATTTTTAAGTCAATACGAAGGTAAAATAATGGAAGATATTGAAACCATATAACGTGTAATATTGTTTAAAAATATTTGTTCATGATGTGTTCAAAAAATGCACTTAGTTTTCATGGCTGCTAGTTAGGGATCTAAGTCAGCAGTTATTTTCCAAATGAGTTAAAAGTTCAATTCCAAGGTGGGGTTGTAAAACCTAATGGAGACCCCATTGCGGTCCCATCCCTTTGTCTATATATTTCATTCTTGAAAGTGAACTGGACATTAAAAGTACAGCGTAACAATAGTTCTTTCATATATATACGATTGTACAGCTTGATAATAAATTCGCTGAAAAAGAGATCCCTTCGATGAACTTCGTGTTTTAATTTTAATGTTTAAATGGGAGTTATAAAATGTAATGTATCAAAATTACCCTGATGCATCGGCAAACTTAAAATGTTGATGTGAAATGAAACTTTGTGGTGAATGAATTTTTCCAGTAGTAGTTTGATTTTAAATACTTAAATTCGGATTAAAAGTGGGTATTCATAATGTTGTTGGATTTAACAATTAAAGAATAGCAACGGATCATTCAGAAAAGTATTCAGCGATGAATACGTGTAATTACCATTTTTTAAATCATGAACTGCGCTTAGCTAGACAGCCAGAGGACTCCCCAGCAGTGCGCACCCACGATCCCAGTCCCTAAGCCAGTGTTCAATGGTGTACATGTTAGATGTGAACAACATTGAGTGCGGGCGTAACGATCCAGAGGTTAAGAATGCGGTTTCCCGCGCACATCTGAAGAGTCTCATCCTAGGACAAAATAACTGTCCAATGCTTCCTGGCAGTCATCAGTGATCTGTCTAAGATTAGTTCACAATTTAAACTGAAAAATCGGCAAACTTTACAAAATTGCCTAAAACAAAAGGAGGCTTTTCCAGTGTTTCCCAATCCATTTTGTACTGAAAATATTATCATTGTATAATTGTTCTCTTTGATTGAGTATAATAACATAATAACTGATACAGAATTTATGACCAATCATCTTGACTTAAGGTGTTCTGATTAGAAATTTAAAGAAATCGAATTTACGTGGTGTATTAACAGTCTAAAAATAGAGCAACTGAAGTAAAGAGTTTATACTTAGTGAAGCATCAGAGCAATAATCGGTAATTACTACGACTTCCTGGAATGAAAATTCTCCAGTTATAGGTCAGTTTTTCTATTGATAAATTTTAATTCAATCATCTAAGAAGTTTTCGGTAAGCATTTTCAAGAACTATTCTTATCTAGATCGTAAATTAAGCTAAAAGAATGTTGCTTTTATTTGTGAATCTTTTTTAATCATGTAGACAAGTCAAAAAGACGATAATACTGAAGATACTAAGTCGGGTTCTGTTGACATATCTACACATGATCAGTACCGTGATGTGAAGAATACCCAGTAGGTTTTTGTTAAATATAATGTATTAATTCATATATTTCAAAGGTAAATTTCATCAAGGACTGTTATTGGTCGAAGAATTATTAAAAACTAGGAATCTTTATACATACATGCCGTTCTAATTTGAAGTACTTCACAGTTTGAATTTATAAACATTCAAAGAGTGCAAGCATGTGTGTTATAACTTGTGACCGCCGATTAGAGAGCAGTGACTTATCGATCGAATCAATGATGCGTAAACCCGTATGAGCAGCCTAGAGTTCTGATTGGCCCTGCTTTCCGCCTAGCCTAGCCAGTTGAGTCCAGAACGCAAGTCTCAGCCTCTGCGATATGAATCACTATATTTCAAACATACTGAATTTATATACCAATCAAACAGACCACAACGTACCAATTAAATATGAAACAACATTTGTACAAGAATTAGCCAGATGTGGCTGTGAATGAGGGAGGTTGTAATTAATATACTGGGTATAACTCAAGAATGGTAAGACGTATAATAATAGTTTATAGGTCAAAATAAAGCTTATAATAAGAGGAATATGAATATGCATAATTCAGTTACTTAATAATTATACAATAGAAATATACGTTTAGTATTGGTCCATCAATAAATCCCAAAAGTTACCATTCATTATTCTTGTCGGGACATAACACCCCCCCTTTTTTGAGGGTCAGGAGTTGATATCGGGATTTTAAATTTTTCGAGTTCGTCCTTCCCCGCGAAATAATGTTGGGTCCTCATATACCCAAATTACAATTAAATTTACTTTATTTAAATATATTGAACAGAGAATCCAGTAAAATTGACCAGATGGTGAGGATAAACGCCATTTAATTCGAAGTCATCAGAATTTGAATCTTCTGAAATATTGTTATCAATTTTATTGGGAGCCTTATTTGTAGATAATAGATCATTGAGGTAATCAGCATCTATCAAAGTCGTATTAGGTTTCTGATCATCATTTGATACATCCGACTTATTTTCTGGTAAAAGAGAATCTCGATAATAAGATTCGTCAGAAACTTCTGTCACAGAATGATGAGATCCATTTGGAGCAGCTGCATTGAGTGTACTGCTCGATTTGTTTTCTGTTTCATCGGCGGTTACTGCGACAATTCTATGGATATTTAACAAGGCGTCTGTTTGTGAGCTGGATAAGTCACTGTCTTCACATGTTGTTTCGGTGATAATGGAGTTTAAATCCATTACCGGGCATGTTTCTGAAATGGATAGTACTGGACCACTGGGCGGATCTTGAGTGACTGCTGTATCGTTTGAAATACGGTTTGTCGAAAACTCATGGAGGCTGCAATCATTTTCCAGCTCAGTGTGCAATTGAGAAATTAATCCATCCACTTCTGTCGCATCTCCAAAGCATGAGTGATTCAGCAGCTGCGTGCGTAATTTGACTAAGAACTCCAACTGCCCTTCAAATAGCAGCTGTAATCAGCACCGGCAATGAAAATTACTGTATGAATAGTGACCAATGTCGTTCAAGTACGCTGATGACAAATCTGGATGCTGACTGCTCGAAATAATTAGACCGAATTTCGTCCAATTACAGACTAACTTTGGATGGGTTTTTTCCATTCCCGTCGCCAATTGTCATAACTTGTGACCGCCGATTAGAGAGCAAGGACTTATCGATCAGATCAATGACGCGCGAACCCGTATGACCAGCCTAGAGTTCTGATTGGCGGCTTTGGACTATAACAAGATGACATTTAAGTTTCACATTGAACAAGGTACCAATAGACCACTGCGTTATGGTTCAATGGTTCACAAGTCCAACTTCATTCTATTCATGAGATAGCGCGATTACTAATTCGTATTATCGACACTAACCGTCCCGGTCTCATCGTCCTAAATCCCAGAAACCACAGATTCCAATCAAAGCTCTGGGTAATCTTTTTAGAAACTAGTCACTAGTAAGAATACGACTATTTTTTAAAATAAAGGTTCTCTGCAAAAATATTTATTCAGTTTAACAACAATTTTTATTTATATATATACTATTCTCACGAAATATTTTTACTTACCAAATAACAATAGTTTACTTCCTGAACATCAATGGTTGTTGTGATTCATCGTCATCTACATGATTTTGTAATGTCCGAGATGGTGAAGATTTGTAGCTCAGGTGGATGATTTTGATGGAGTTTTGTTCTCTGAGCTGGATGCTTTGGTCGTGGAGCTTTCATCTTCCTTCTGAACGACATCATCAGCAAAAACTTCAGGCAGAAGTGAAGTGTTCGAATTTCTCCACATCTGGCTCACAGTTTGTCCTATAGACCTCGGCGTTGATTGGTCCTTATTGACCTTAAATTTGTCATTGTTTACTTTTTTGTTTTGGTTGCATCTTCTATTGGTTTGATTCTTGGTTCTATGTCTGTCCATAATTTTCCTGATCAGTTGATAGTTTGGATCAATTTCAATGTACTTGTTGATTGCTGATTGACCTGAGTGCCAAGCTTCTAAAAATTTTCTGGTGTTTTTGTAATTTCCTCTATCCGCATTTTTCCAGTCAAATGTGTGTCCGCAGTTGTCCACGTACTTTGATATAAGTGAGGACATGTCATAGCGTTTGACTGCTAATTAATGTTCATACAGGCGAAGATGAAGAGGGCGTCCTCTTTGTCCAATGTAATGTTTTCGTAGTCTTAATGTCTGATAATCAAATGTTTAGATGTTTAAATAACAATTTGTTCTTTATTCAATATGGATTTCTATATTTTCATTTGATTAGCTCGAACCAACTTTAAAACCATCAGCTAAATTTGATGTTGATAAAGATTGTGAACAATTACATCAAGCTATGGCTGGAATGGGAACTAATGAAAAATCATTAATTGAAGTGATGGGTCATCGATCTTCTGAACAACGAGTAACTATAACACAAAAATATAAATCAATGTATGGTAAAGATTTAACCTCGAAATTTAAGTCAGAATTAAGTGGAAGTTTTATGATTGTATGGAAGCTTTATGCTATTCACCAGTTGAATTTGATGCACGTGAACTGCGTAGATCAATGAAAGGAGCTGGTACGGATGAAGATGCTTTAATTGAAATTTTATGCTCTAGAACAAATGCACAAATTAAGCAAATTAAAGAGACTTATTCTAAAAGTAAGTGATTTATATATAATTTTATATTCTTTATTCATAATAAAATTTATTCATTCTCAACGTTTAACTTATCAATAGTTGAGATCATGAGTCAATTGAAGCTAGACAACCATGGGAAACTTCCAAGCACTGGATGGACGTTTCGTCCTATTGTGGGACTCCTTCGCATAATATCATGAACCACTATTTGATCTATTAGACTGTCACCAAAATTAAGGCATAATTTAACTTCCGTTTATTAAATCCCTGGTATTTTATGCATTATAATAAAGAAAATTAACATCAGTAGCTTGTTTTCTACACAAAATGAAAATATCTGTTATGATTTCCTTCGAAAAGTTTGAACACTCTTGAATTATATTAATATTATTATGATGAAACATCGTTAAAGACAAAAATGTTTATTAGTTTTGTGGTATGTGCTACTGATGCCGACAGATATAAGTAGTGTGTATCATCAATCGAAAGTGAAATGTCTGGCGGTAGAAGGTTATGAAGATCAGAGATTGATTGATGTAGGATCGAAAGAACAATGAAGTCTAAGATGATTGATTGACATTTCCAAAAGGAACATTCAAGTTTGAGACAGTTGATTGACATTTTGCAAATGAAGTATTTACTGTATGGTTCTCAGATTTTAGTGAGATGTTCTGTAATTTGTATTCAAATACATCCGATTATCCCCATTTGTGTTCTCGTTCACTATAGTATGATTTAGAAAATTGCTTTCGTCAATAAGATGTACTGTACTGACATGTCATTCTAATATATAATCCCTTAACAGTTCACATCCATCTATGATTGAACGCAATAACTTCAGGCCTCATAATGTGTGTTATATTTAAACCATATGATTGGGACGATGTGGCTCACATTTTCAAATATAATCAATTTTTGATTGAGATCATGAATCGATCGATGTTAGAACATCACTAAAATCTGGAAGCACTGAACACCACTTATCATTTATGCTTCATGTAGCATTCAGAGATGTTAATGATGAGTCATTCATCTTTGACTAACTCATCGTAATACTGAAGCAAGTATAATAAATTAGCCATCAAAGAGTGATGTTATAACTTGTGGCCCTGTTAATATATAACGTAATGATATCGCCACGTAGAGAACTGTGAATTATCGACCGGACCAATCACACATAAAAACCGTACGAACAATCTACAGTTTTTATCGGTCATTCTTCCTGTCTATTCCTCCCTGTTAAATCCAGAACAACAATTTCAGCCTCCGCGATATCAATCATGTATTTCAGACATACTAAGCTTATATACAAACCAGACAGACCACATCGTGCCATAAAATAGAAGATAACATTTGTACAAGATTTAGTCAAAAGTGACTGTGAATGTCGGAGACTGTAATTAATAGACTGGGCATAACTCAAGAACGGTAAATCATATAATAATAGCCTATGGGTTAAAATAAAGCTTTTAATAAGAGGAACATGAATATGCATAATTTAGCTACCTAATCACTATGTATTAATATATATATATATATATATATATATATATATATATATATATATATATCGTATATGGTTGATAAATTGTTCTCCGGAGTTACCCATTCATAATTCTCGTCGGTATATAACAAGTAATCAATTGTATTCCATCTAGTATACAATGCTGATGGTAGTAATTTCTTCCTTCACTGATAAAATGTCGCTTGACCCTGTATCAGTACACGATATTTGATTATGATCGATAGTTATTTAAAGTCATCAAGAACAGTATTTAATTAACACGGAAGACCAAATAGCATGATATATATATACTGTATATTAGCTTGTAGTGTTAAGCCCAAATACTTTATTCTAACTTTCAGACAGTCCGATTTATTCATTCTACTTGAGTCATATTTTGACCTTGTTAATTAATCGCTTATCAGTCTTGACTGTTTTCATATGAGCGTATATGGGTGTACACTTCATATTCCATGTCTCATCACATATCTGTATTTTATTTTGTCTGCCTATAAATATTGAGTAACGGCTGGCTAAAAATGAGTTGGGTTACCAGCCATCTCCACCGCGCGTCATTTTGCTCTGTTCTATTCTGTTATTGACTAACGTGATATAAGTCGATGATTGTATACGAGGACAGGTGATAACAAACATTCATACAATCTAAATGGAGTCAGATCACGGGCCACTAAAAGCTACATACTACTAATAGTGTATTTTAAAACATTGAAACTTTACCAAATGGAACTATCTAACAATGTAGTCTCTAATCAAAGTTAATTTTACCCTTCATAATAAAATATCCATCAAATTTCTTTCATGTAACCGATTCCTAAGATCTTTTTTTATTATTTTTATTGAATTTTAATCTCTTCATCAGTATTCCCTAATCGTGATTTAGAGAATGATGTAAAAAGTGATACATCACGTCATTTTAAACGTGTATGTGTTGCTCTATTACAAGGTGATAGAGATGAATCATTAAAAGTAGATATGGAACTTGTTCGTAAAGATGCAGAAAATTTATATAGAGCAGGTGAACAAAAATTAGGGACAGATGAATCAAGGTAAGTTGCATTTAAAAAAAATAGTTTGTTTGATTTTGCTAAAATAAGAATTTGCCAAGTCGGTTAGTGTGTATTGTAGTAAAATTAAGCGAGCTAGATTGGATAGTCAATAATTCTACTGTCTTATGTATTCTCTATCAGTAATTCTGTAGAATAATCTGAAAAACTGGGTGAGTCTAGGTATATTTACATACTTGTGCAAATATATCATCTCAAGGTCAAGGAGTTCGTGAGGAATGATAAGACACGCTACTAAGGAAATTCGATTATTAGATGGTGGTTGGAGGTAGTCGACAGGCAACCCTGGACCCGGGTTTCGTGCTACTTGGCACTCGTCAGCAAGGTGTACCTGTAATCTTGAGGGAACTGGCCACATTGCAACATGATCGACAGCGTTCGATCTGCACTAATAAGGACTAGACACTCATGACATTGATCGCCACCCAGTGACCAATCAATTGTGAAATTCGATTATATTTGTTGACAAGTTCTACGCCGACATTTCCCTGATTAGATTCATATATATATATATATATATATATATATATATATATATATATATATATATATATATATATATATGATTTGTGAACCTAATAATCTGTTTTCGCAAATTACAGCTTTCCAATTATTTTTCAGTTTCTTCAATCGGATAGCTGATTATGAGAAAGTACAAGAAGCATGTGTATTTGAGTCGGATATCACGGGACGTCATGTCATAACCTAACACTTGTCTATGTTGTTGAATGACTACAAACTGGTCAGTGTGAACTAAGTTACCAATTGTGACGATTAATGGCCTATGGTTTAAAAACATTTATATTCAGATTTTATATAGTATCTTAGGGTACAAATATTTACACTGAATAGATTGATAGTGGTGAATTGAGGAACAGTTAATATGTCTAACTGATGTTACGGCGTATTTAAATACCGATCCGGATTGTTGTTATACAAGGAATATCTAGAGGTTACCTCAGCCACAGTACTTGGATGAGAATAGTTCTTAACGTATTTACAACTATGTAAAATGTATTTCCAGGAAACAAATTACTTGCTGCATGTGATGAACTCAAACAATAAGTGCTTCTTGAAAAATGTTGGATAGTGGCCAGCAGTGGGATCAGGGACGCGCGTCTCAGCTTTCTTGAGACTTGTTAGGTGGATATACCAGTACCCCAGTATATATATCCTTCTCGACGCTCGAATCTAGTACCTTTCATTCCAAACTCCAATATGTTATCCGCTTAGCTACTGGGTCTGAGTATCTATTAGTTTGTGCATCAGGATGAATTTAGACCCATTTGTAATGATTATATGAATCCTCTCGCTGATGTTATGGACTGCAATTAATCAGTCTCTTTTGCATATGGATATGCTGTGCAGATTGCATTGATATTGCCATTAAGTCACAAGCACTTTTTAGGCAGAGTTGGATAGTGATTCATACTAACAAACTTATATGATTCCAACCACTACATTAAATTTCTCGCCTTTTGTCTTAGATCTAATGTTTTGACTTTTCTGAAAGTGTAATTTGATGTAATGTTGGACAATTAAGCATATGTTACTGAGGCTGCCGTTTATGATGATATATTCATATGGGCATTCAAAGTTTGATACCATACAAAGTTCACCAATACTATTCAGGTAAATGTATATATACGTTCTGTTTTAAACAGAAATGGATGGTGGCTAGCAATGGGGTCCAGGACGCGCGTTTCATCCTATTTGGGACTCATCATCCGGGTGTACTTGCATACCAGAGTTGATGTTCACTCTGAGACTCCAACCGCGTACCGTTCGTTTTAAACGCTATCGTGTAATCCACTTAACTACTGAGTCCTAATAGCCACTTGCTTGTGCAATGGAGTCAAGTTTAAATTCACTTGGTATTGTTTACTTGAATCTTCCCATTGTTGTTTATGACTGAAATTGATCAATCTCTTACTGACATATATCCATTCTGTACAGACTGTACTAAGTAATAGAATACAAAATCGACTGTAGTGTCATGTTTCTGTTTTGATTTCAAATAGTTTTAAATGTTAAATGTACCTTACTGAATCGTTGTCTAAATTACATCTATCAATTTACTCTTATATTTAAACCTAATTTTTGAATCAAATATGGATAGTGGCTAGCAGTGAGATGCCAACATGAGACCGATCAATCGCAGTCCTAAATTACAATGGGAAGATTTAAGTAAAACAACAAGTGAATCGAATTTTTGAACGTTCTCTCTATTAAATAGTTGATAAGAGAATAATTTTTCTTAGTTTAACTAGATGTTTATCAATCCATTTGAATACAATCATCAATTTATTTTATACACATCATTATAGGTTTGTTCAAATATTGATTTCACGGTCATTTGCTCATTTACGTTTATTATTCGAAGAATATTCAACTATTGGTAAAAAGAATATTGAAGATACTTTAAAATCAGAAATGCATGGTGATACACTTCGAGCATTTTTATCTATCGGTTAGTATTATAAATGTTTTCTATTGTGTATACTTAATATTTTTTGTTTGAGATCATGAACCGATTGGTGTTAGACCACCACTGAATACCTAGAAGCACTGGATGGCCGTTTCGTCCTATTGTGGGACTCTTTAGCCTTGTGCATCCGCGATCCCACTCGCGGGATCCGAACCCAGGGCCTTCGGTCTCGCACGCAAACGCCTAATCTACTGAACCACTGAGCTGGCATCCAATGATGTTAATGTCTAACCTCAACCAATCCACGAATTTGCGCTAACATTTTCCGTTGTACTGAGGTAGATACCTGTCTCTGTCCGACACAAATTAGCTCCACTCGTCACGACCGTCTAGTGATTCCAGGTGTTCAATGGTGGTCTAACATCAATCGGTTCATGATCTCAATCAAAAACCTAATAATCTTCACGACCCCTATACTGTTATACTTAATAGTCGAATAATACGAAAGAATAATTTAATGAATTAATTTGTTTATATGAGTTATCTATACATAGTCAGTCATTATAACTTAAATTTCTTCCCATATATAATCATAACCGTTTATAAATTTTAACTCATATTCAATAAACAAATTTTTAGTTAATTACACAAAAACTATTTGAGCATAGAGGATAAAAATTGATCTTAAATGTGTATTAGATGAAATAGTTTCAGTGTTTGAGTTTAGTTTAATAATAATGAGTTCATGTCATACTTACTGACTTACACTTGTTCCTCCACGCGGTTAAGCATAGATATCTCACCAGGAATCTCTATCGAACTTTATCCTGAGCGATCTTTTCCAGTTGCTAATCATTCTTCTGATATCCACTTCCGATTTCCGACGTAGTGTATTCTTTAGTCATCCTCTTTCCCGTTTCCATTCAGGATTTCAAGTTAGCGCTTACCTTATGATGCAGTTTGATAATTTCTTCAATGTGTATCCTTTCCACTTTCATCGTCTTTTCCTAATTTCTTCTTCAGCTGGAAGTTGGTTTGTTCTCTCACACAGTAGGCTGTTTCTGAAGGTATCCGGTCAACAGACATTGAGTATCTTGCGTTGACAATTGTTTGGAAATATCCGTACATTTTTGATGATGGTCGTGGTAGTTCTCCAAGTTTCAGCTCCGTACAGTAGAACTGTTTTAACGTTTGTATTGAAGATTGTGACTTCGGTATTGGTTAACAATTGTTTTGAGTTCCATATGTTCTTCAGTTGTAGGAATGACATCCTTGCATTTCCAATCTTCGAATTTACGTCTGCATCAGATGATGCATATCATGTAAATGAAAGATTCCGCCCCTTCCAGAGCTTCTCTAGCAAGTATGATTCGGTTGGTGTTCTCCGTTTTGTTTGAGGATCTTGCTTTTTCTCTTTGTATGTTGAGTCAGAGACTGCTGCTGCACTGTTTGTCTTGACCGGCATATGTTAATGTGCATGGAACAGAAGGGCTAGGTGGTCTGCGAAGTCCAAATTGTCTAATTGCATTCAATCTGTCTATTGCTTTCCCTCAAATATCTAAGTTTTCATAATCCAGTCGACCAGTTCAAGTTTTGTCAGGGAAATATAACCAAACATCATAATTATTTGATAATTTATTTCAAATTCATTCGTTGAGATTTTACAAATACATTCTTTCTCTTTAATGTCTTACATCAACTCGGCGCACGAATACTGTGAAATTGTTCGTTAAAGTTTAGACCAAACTTTTTATGTACTATTATGTCACTTATTATAGTGTCGGTTACTGTGTTAAGCCCACATAAGTTATTCTAGCTTTCGGAAAGACCAGCTTATTCATTCTTTTTGAGTCATATTTTGACCATGTTAATTATTCGCTTATAAACCCTGACTGTTTCTATGTTAGCGTATGTGTGGATATTTATTATATTACTCATCGCATACCTGTCGCTTATTTTGTTTGACTACAAATATCGATTAACTTTTGATTAAAGCGAGCTGGCTCACATGCTTTCTCCATCGCGGAACATTTCCCTTCGCTTCTCCAATCTCATTCGCTCTTCACTCTTGGTTTCGTCTGCCTAATAGCTTGTTCAAATCAATGAGTGCATGAAATATACATATTCAAAATCAGTTCTCGTATTTGACTTATTTAATTCCGTCATTCACTAACGCGGATTAAGTCGATAATTATACAGGAGGATAGCCGACATAGCCTTCCATAGCATTGTCCTATCTGACTGACATCAAAATGAAGGGCCACACTGAATCATAAAATATAATTTTGAAAATATCACCCAGTAACCTCACAGATGATAATTGTTGTTGATTTCTATACACCCCTAAAATAAGTTTTTTTACTTGGAGAACTGTTTTATGATAACTTAGATTCTTTGATACATAGTATTGTGATGTGAGCTACTTATATTCACATAAGTAGTATACAATGATAGTCAGGAATAAAATGTATTTCAGTAGAAAATCGAGAAGGAAAGAATGGGAACGGAAAGTAATTGGTATTAAAATTCAGGAAAAATGAAATCTGAGACGATGGATTGATATTTGCAAAAGGAACAGTCAAGTTTGAGACAATTGATTGATCTTTTGCAAACTAGCCATTTACAGTATGATTCTCAGATTTCATTAAAATGTTCAGTAATTTTGTGTTCAATTACATTTAGTTGTATCAGAAGGGGTTTTGTGGAGATTGTAGTGATTTCAGTTGTTAAGATCATGAATCGATTGTCCCCCACTCGTGTTCTTGTTCACTACAGTATCATTTAATAAATGATTATTCATATGCATAGACAAATTCTCTTTCAATGACAATAACCATGAATATTATATTTTAAGGCTTCAATAACTAGATTAATATTCACTTGGTGTTGTTTCCTTTTATCTCCCCATTGTTATTTAAAACTTCAATCGGTCAGTCTCATGTTGACATGTGTACATATTGTACGGAATACCTCGATATAGCATTAAGCGAACATAAACTCTGCGATTCAGGTACATCCAGCTGACGAGTCCCAAACAGGACGAAACGCGCGTCCTAGATCTTATTGCTATCTACTATTCATCATTGCTTAACTAGATTAATACTTTAGTCTATTGTATATTTAAATGAATCATTCAAAAACTTTAATTATTTTCCTACTTATTTTTCTATTCTAGTTTCTTGTATTAAAAATAAACCGAAATATTTTGCTGAGAAATTAGAAAAATCAATGAAACGATTAGGAACTGATAATAGAACACTGATACGTATTATTGTATCACGTTGTGAAGTTGATTTAGGCATAATTAAAAAAGAATTCTCAAGTTTAACTGGTAAAACATTAGAATCTTATATACATGTAAGTAATAAATATATTTTTGTGAAGTTTGTCAGTTTTAATTCACTTGTTGTTTTATTTGTATCTTGAACATTAACTTTGGGATGCAGGTACATCCACCTGATGAGTCCCAAACAGGACGAAACGTGCGTCTTGGAATACACTGCTAGCTACTATTCATCTTTGTCAGTTTTGTTTTTAAATTCCGATTGCATTTACCTAATATTATGATAGTAGTTTAAATTCACTTGGTATTGTTTACTTGTATCTTCTTGTCATCGCACAAGTGAGTGTCTAACAGGACTCAGTAGTTAAGTGGATAAAGCGGCGACGTTTGAATCGAACGGTATCGATTAAAGTCTTGGGGTGAACATCAACTATTGTATGCAGATACATGCAGTTGATGAGTTTCAGATTGGACGAATTTCGGGTCCTGGATCTCAATGCTAGCCACTATCTATCTTTGCTTATTATAGTAGTTTGATGACAAATAGTTTTTTAATTTCAACTATGTTTTTCTTAAATGTTTAGGATTAAAACTGTAGTGGCTGGCACACTATATTAAGCCCACATAGGCTATTCTAGCTTCTGAGCAGATGAATTTATTCATTCTTCTCAAGCCATATCTTGATGTTGTTGATTGTTCGCATATTATCCCTGTTTTTGTCCATGTGTATATGTGTTAAATATTTATCCTGTTCATTATGTGTGTAACTTATTTCTGGTTTGACTATAAAGATTGAAAGTAAGCGTTCGCGAGACTAAAGGTTTTGTGTTCGAGTCACGCGTACGGGATCGTGATTATGCAATTCTGGGGAGTCCCGTACTGAGACAAAGCGAAAGTCGAATGCTTCTAGGTTTTTGGTGGTGGTTTAGCTTACATCGACTCGTGAATTTAACTGTTATATATATTGAGTCAAACATGATTAAGTTGGGCTGGCTCACTCTCCTCCATTGTGCATCATTACGTTTCTCTTCGCTCTCTCTTTTATTCCTTTGCTTCGTTTCCCTGATTGTCTGTTCAAATCAATGAGTGTACGAAATATACGTATTCATATTTCATTCTCGTAGTTGACTTATTTCTGTTGTTTACTAACGCGATTTAATTCTATGGTTACATACGAGGGTAATCAGGATGCATATTTGGATAACAATCATCATACTATCTAACTGGAGTCAGAGATAGGCACCACTAAAAAGATGAATAATTTAGCTGTTTATAAAGCTGTTAGTAGATTGATACCAATTTCGAGAAGTTTTTTGATAATTACAGCCAGTTACCAAATAAAAATCAATCTCGTGCTGTGTAGTTATCGGTACCAATTTAATTCTACTAGGTTAGTTTGCAAGATTGATCAAATGGGATCGACAACTAACTAATTTAAACATTTCCTTACCAAGGAAACTCAAAGTTCTATCTTATCTTGGTGTTGACATTTCCGACTTTTGTACAAGGCGATGTCTATTAAATCGCATGGTACAGCTGAGAATATCCGATACTAAAAACAAACCTTAGTGACGAATGTTAACAAGTGACGTAGGTTCACATTTTACTGCCGATTCCCTTCAACTCCCTAATTATAGTTTTTATGATAATGCCGTAAGAGATAATTATAACTTATAATATTTTGTCTTGTATAAATAGAGTTACAGCTTAATTTATTTGTGCTTGATAATTCTTTTAAGTGGACTCTAGATTCGGTTCATAAGCTCTTCTAGTAACCCTCCGAGGTAAATCTACACAGCGATTTGAACACGAGAGAAAAGTTACGAAATATGGAAGAAACGCTTTACTCCAAAGGTTCGTTTATTTACAGAAAATCTAGGGATTTTAATTTAGATGGCTTTGGGTTTCCGGAATGTTCTAGAACGCCACTCAACATAGTAGCAGTATGGGTAATCATCCAATGTGACTTTTTACTTTTTGTAGATGTGTCTGGCAAAACTTCCAGTGAATCTTGATTGGATAAGATGTTTCTTAGTGTTTTCAGAGCCTTTTTTGGCTTTTTAAAGAGTTTTCTGAATCTCCCTAACAGTACTCTAATGTATAAACGTCTCATGTACTGTTGTTGATGTAAATGTGAGTGTTTTTAAGGAAATGAAGTTGAATCAATAAAAAATGTTGAGTAAATCATCTGTAAAACTGAGATAATTACAAAACTGATTCATTTAAAATTAATAACACTTGAAGCTGAAGAAGTGAATCATGTTTCAAATGAATAAACCTTTAGAGAGTAAATCCCTTTTATTAAAATATTCATATTTTTTAACTGAGATGTTATTGTTTACAAACATATAGGAGGTGTACGCTTTTATAATTGTAAAGTCAGTGCCAAAATTATTAGACTATTACTTAATTTTATAGTTGAATTCATGAGTCAGTTGAAGCTAGATCACCATGGGAAACTTGGAAGCACTGGATGGCCATTTCCTACTAGTATGAGACTCCACAGCAGTGCACATTCACGATCCCGCCCCACGAGATTCGAACTCAGGACATCACAGTCTCGCGAGTGATTGCTTAATATTTAGACTACTAAGCTGGCCGGTATGCAATGGTGTTAATGTCTAACTTCAACTAATCCACGAAATTACTTAGTGTTCATTATGAACTGACATCGACTTAATAATCACTAAAAAAAGCACCACTATACAACTATTGTTATTTTAATTCGAAACATCAAAACACTATGTACCCTTTAATCTTATCAGTAATCAAAAACAAAGGTCTCCGAGTTTTTTGATGAACGTATTTCCAGTTTTAAATGGAGTATTTGAAAGGAATAGTAAAATAAAGCTGTAAACTTGGATAGCTACTCTTTAATTCATTAGTTTACAGCTTTTTTTAAAATTTATCTTTTTTGATGTATTCAGTGTTGTTACTATTTTATATTGTTCTTCAATTACTTTCAATTAACCATACAATTTGTTGCTAAACTCTGGATTAAAAATATCCCATTTATGTATAATAGTCAAAAATTATTATAATTGATGCATATTAATCCTGTGTTCTACCTATTGGATTCTGTCAGTGGATTTATTTAACTAATGAAAGTACATCATATCACCTATCCGGCTATTTGATGTTCTGAAGGCAGGTTTAAAAGAATAGGAATTCACGTGACTTGTAATCCAACACAGTAACTGAGACAGTGGGATTTTTGTTGGTGTTAGATTTAATAAAACAACCTTATAGATTTTTAAAACAAACAAGACTTTTTCCTATTTATGCTGGAACAATGAACAAAAAGAATTTTTAATTTCCTTTATTTTCAGGATGAAACAAGCGGTGATTTACGTCTAATACTATTAGCTTTGGTGGGAGCATAAAACTTGGTTGTTGTTACCACAATGAGATAATCCTATCTTTTTACATCTATCAAACAAAAGGCTGTGATTAATTTTTCCTTCAATATATTCATCAACTCAATCTGTGATCTAAAAAGAAACCGTAAATCAATATAAATTTCCTTTTTCGAAAATTTTATTTTAATATCACACCAGGGGTTTTACAAAAAAACTATTATATTCTTTTAACTACTTATATTTTAATTAGTAGTAGTTTATTATCCGAACAATTTATTTTGTCAAATCTTTCAAATAATTGCTGTCGATAAAATCTCAAACAATGTAAAAATAAATGTCAACTTATCCATCTTTTTATTCTCTAAATTATCGATTCATATATTTTCGGTTGTGATTTTACTGGAATAAAAGAATTGTGTTGAATTTGACGCTGAAGGAATATCAGTAACGCATATAGTCTATCAAAAGAAAGAAGTTCCGTTTCACCTGTCAGTATACAACACCATCATATCGTGCATTAAAAAAATATATCGAACGCATTACATTTAAATGATTATAATTTTTTTTAGCTAATACAATTGAGTAGCTGTTTGACTGACTGAGGCACTCTAGTTCGATCCACTAATCGGTTGTACTGAGTATTCTGTAGGTCTAAATTATTTTCACCTTTTCTCAGTGTTCAACAAATGTGTATTTTCCAGAATTTTCGGATATTTTCCCTCTTATTTAATGATTGATTACTGTAAATAAGGGTGTAATTTACACTAGTGGTTTCACTTTAAACATTTGAACTAATTTTTATCTTATTGTTGTTAACATATTAGTGTAACGCATTCGAATATACCGAGAGAAAAACATAAATATAAAGAGAATTAAGGCTTGAAATGAAGTCTCCAGTAAAAGAAACTTTACTTTTATGTATTGCAGGGTTACCTGACCTGTCGTATGCCCTGATGGTGCTCTCGTAACTTTCGGGTTACCTGATCTGCCAAGGGTGATGAGATAGTGCATGATGCTATTGTTGTGTGCTAGGTTCAAAGAGAATTGTATGCTATATGCATGCGAATCCGTCCCGTTATTGTTCCTATATATTACAGTTATTTATTAAAAGGATGAAAGAATTCCCGAAAATCTTGTATAGTGCATGTATTTTAAATAAGCAGATGACAGTATAAAATCTTTGACGAATATAATGTTATCACATCATGTAATATTGCTTTTAGTTATAAGATAACGACTAATGATAAAACGATTGAATATAAAATAGATGCTTGAACTTTACAGCAAACATTAACGATACTAATTACATAACTTCAAAAGTTATATTGAATACCAAAACATCATCTAATTAACTTTATTAGTCATATCATATAATCTATATTAGGCTCATATCATCAGTGACTAATGAACTTACCAGGTAAGTTAAATAATAGAGTAGTTTGTAGATTTCAATAACTTTATGGTTAACTACACTTGTTATAGTGGATTCAGTCATTAGTCCAACGCTTACTATTGCCACTAGATTTTTATTTGTCAGCAAAACTATAAATTATGGAGAAAGCAATCAGATTCAAGATAGCGGATCTTTTATTTTGGCACGAAATTCATTCATCCATTTGACTAAATAACATTTTAGCATTATAGGTAATATCACTTTATGGGAGAAAACCCTATCTTCTAACTTCTAGAACCCGATTCTAATTTCTCACACTAATTTTTAAACCTCTTTATATCCTATTAACTCCGCCTGTAGCTCTAACAGGGTTACTGCCGGTCCCAAGCCCGGATAAAGGAGGAGGGTTGGGCATGGGGTTAGCGTCCCCATCCCGTAGAAAACTAACTCGCTAAAAAAACGCTTACCAGAAAAAATAATCCAAACCATTTAAACTCTGCCCTGGGAGTTAGAAGAATTATGACGCTTCATGGTGAAAGCCGAGTTCCTTCGGAAGCCACGAGGCCGATGCCCCTTCTAACAACTAGAGCAAAAATTTTTATAGGTACATGGAACGTTCGAACAATGTGGGAAACCGGGAAGACCAGTCAAATAGCAATGGAAATGAGGAGATACAACTTAGCAGTACTGGGAATCAGCGAAACCCACTGGACCCAAGCTGGACAGAAAAGGCTAGCTACGGGAGAGATGCTGCTATACTCCGGTCACGAAGAGGACAATGCTCCACACACTCAGGGAGTCGCTCTTATGCTGTCCAAAGTAGCACGAAATGCACTTGTAGGATGGGAGTCTCACGGATCCAGAATCATCAAAGCATCATTCAAAACAAAGAAGGAGGGGATCTTAATGAATATTATCCAATGTTATGCACCCACCAATGATAGCAACGACGACATTAAAGATCAGTTCTACGAGCGGCTGCAGTCAATCATTGAGAAATGCCGAAGAAAGGACCTAACTATTCTGATGGGAGATCTAAATGCCAAAGTCGGAATAGACAACACTGGATATGAAGATATTATGGGACGACATGGACTGGGAGAAAGAAACGAAAATGGAGAAAGATTTGCAAATTTGTGTGCATTCAACAAATTAGTCATAGGAGGCACAATATTTCCACACAAGCGTATACACAAGGCTACATGGATCTCACCGGACCACACTACAGAGAACCAAATAGATCATATTTGCATCAACAAAAAATTCCGAAGGACAATGGAAGATGTGAGAACCAGGAGAGGTGCTGACGTAGCTTCAGATCACCACCTAGTTGTAGCCAATTTAAAACTGAAGCTAAAAAAGAACTGGACAAGTGGACAAACAGCACTACAAAGGTTCAATACAGCCTTCCTTCGAGATACTGACAAACTCAATGAATTCAAGATAGCTCTCAACAACAGGTTCCAAGCCTTACAAGATCTACTGAATGAAGAAGAAACTACTATGGAGGACAACTGGAAAGGCATCAAGGAAGCATTAACTTCAACGTGTCAAGAGGTTCTGGGCCTAAAGAAACACCATCATAAGGAATGGATCTCTATAGAAACACTGGACAAGATCAAAGAAAGGAAGAACAAGAAGGCAGCAATTAACAACAGCCGAACACGAGCAGAGAAAGTCCAAGCACAAGCTGAATACATAGAAGCAAACAAACAAGTGAAGAGGAGCATTAGAGCCGACAAGAAGAAATACGTGGAAGAACTAGCAACGACGGCAGAAAAAGCTGCTAGAGAAGGAAATATGAAACAGCTTCACGATACAACGAAGAAACTAGCAGGGAAATACAGTAAACCAGAGAGGCCGGTCAAAGACAAAGAAGGCAAGCCAATCACCGAAATTCAACAACAGCGTAACAGATGGGTAGAATACTTCGAGGAACTCCTGAATAGGCCGGCTCCAATGAATCCACCGGACATCGAAGCAGCACACATAGATCTTCCTATAGATGTCAACCCACCAACGACGGAAGAAATTAGAATGGCCGTCAGACAAATCAAGAACGGGAAAGCAGCAGGACCCGACAACATACCAGCTGAAGCACTGAAATCAGACATCGAAGCAACCACAAGCATGCTATACCTTCTATTCAAAAAGATTTGGGAGGAGGAACAAGTGCCAATGGACTGGAAAGAAGGACACCTCGTCAAGATTCCAAAGAAAGGAGATCTGAGCAAATGTGAAAACTACAGAGGCATTACACTACTGTCAATACCAGGGAAAGTCTTCAACAGAGTGTTGCTGAACCGGATGAAGGATGCAGTAGACGCCCAACTTCGAGATCAACAAGCTGGATTCCGTAAGGATCGGTCGTGCACAGACCAAATTGCAACACTACGGATCATCGTCGAACAATCAGTTGAGTGGAACTCATCACTATACATCAACTTCATTGATTATGAAAAGGCATTCGACAGTGTAGATAGGAGGACATTATGGAAACTTCTTCGACACTACGGAGTTCCTGAGAAGATTGTCAACATTATCCGGAACTCATACGACGGACTACAGTGCAAAGTAGTGCATGGAGGACAGCTGACAGATGCATTCCAAGTAAGGACTGGAGTCAGACAAGGCTGTTTACTCTCTCCCTTCCTCTTTCTTCTGGTGGTCGACTGGATTATGAAGACCTCAACATCTGAAGGAAAACACGGAATACAATGGACAGCTCAGAATCAATTAGACGATTTGGACTTCGCAGACGACCTAGCCCTCCTATCACGTACACACGAACAGATGCAGATGAAGACAGCCAGTGTAGCAGCAGTCTCTGCATCAGTAGGCCTCAGCATACACAAAGGGAAAACCAAGGTCCTCAAATTCAAGCGGAGAACAGCAATCCAATCACTCTTGATGGCGAAACTCTGGAAGATGTAGAGTCCTTCACATACCTAGGAAGCATCATCGATGAACAAGGAGGTTCAGATGCAGACGTAAAGGCGAGGATCGGCAAAGCAAGGGTCGCATTCCTACAATTGAAGAACATATGGAACTCAAAACAACTTTCAACCAATATCAAAGTGAGAATCTTCAATACGAACGTCAAGGCAGTTCTACTGTATGGAGCTGAAACTTGGAGAACTACAACAACCACAATCAAGAAAGTACAAGTATTTATAAATAGCTGTCTACGCAAGATACTCAACATCCATTGGCCGGATACCATCAGCAATAGCCTTCTGTGGGAGAGAACAAACCAACTTCCAGCTGAAGAAGAAATTAGGAAAAGACGATGGAAATGGATAGGACATACATTACGCAAATCGTCAAACTGCATCACGAGGCAAGCCCTAACTTGGAATCCTGAAGGGAAGCGAAAAAGAGGAAGGCCAAAGAACACATTGCGTCGGATAATAGAAGCAGATATGAAAAGGATGAATTACAACTGGACGGAGCTGGAAAGGATTGCCCAGGACAGGGTTGGATGGAGAATGCTGGTGAGTGGCCTATGCTCCTTCACGAGGAGTAACAGGCGTAAGTAAGTAAGTAAGTTATATCCTATTAGGTAAGTGAGTTTTCTCAAGACCACTATATCGTCGTTTAAAGGTCATACATAAGTCTTAGTCTCTTTGGT